AAAAAAAAAAAAAAAAAAAGACCCCAGTGATAGAGGTATCCACCGATCAATTGGATACAAGCAACGAAGGGAGAACGATCGGTCGGAGAGGGGAGGGGGGATTAGAAAGCAGTTGGAAGAGGGTGGGCTTACAGAACAAGCAATGAGATCTCCGGTCCCGTGGCATGGAAGAAATGGTGACCGTCAGCTGTTGAAGAGGTCCGGAAGAAGAGAGGGGAAAGTCGCAAGAAAGAGGAACCCGAAAAACGAGAGGAGACGAGAAAACAAAAGTTCGGAAGGACGTTACCCCTCGAAGAAGGAATATAGAATAGAAAAGGAAATAGATAAAATAAAATAAAAGGGCAACGAGAAAAGAAAAAAAAAAAAAAAAAGGCAGCATGCAATAATGGGAGAAATAGGAACCCCAATAATAGCCAACAAGGGGATGGAAAGATTGAATTAATTGATTTGACCTGGAGATGAGCAGAAGATACTGAAGATCAGTTGGGAAGAAAGAGGGAAAGTCTAAAATCCGCAGGCAGGTGGTGATGGTGGCCTCAGGCCCGGGTTAGTGTGGGAGACTAACAGGTACTAGACTTTCAGACCTTTATGGATCTGCCCGTTACTGGTCGAAGTTAGTCTAGTTAGTGTTAGCAGGAGGCGTAGTGACGGGAGCGGATGGAGACCAAAAGGCGGGCCAGCAGTCCTTAGTGACTTTGTCTGGTCCCTAGTAGACGGACTAGTGGTATAGGGTTCAAGTGGTGTACACTGAGTAGGGCATCTATTGAGCTGTACGTTGTTCACATACGTACTCTTTTGGATCCTGATTGGACTTTTATTGGTGTAGACTGGAGTACTGATTTGTGGAGAGGACGCAAGGTCTGGCAAGCCAAGACGTCTGGTTTCACAGGTACTTTAATTTGGATCATTTCCATTTCATACTACTTTTGCGTTGTTCCCAGGCAAATTTTTTTTTCCCACTCTTTTTAGTTTTAGGTTTATTTTTATTTATTTATTTTCCCTCTCTTTATTCCCCTTTCTTATTAAAAAGAGTTTTATAATTTATCGTCTTATTTATGAGAAGGGCGATTATAATTATACACATTATGTGAAGTTCATTTGATCGCCAACCAAGGGTGTGTGGAGGGTTCTTACTAACAGATCAATGATCACCGATGTGGTTGTATCATATACCACAGAGTACGGAGTTCTGTGAGAAGCATGAATATTATTAGCTGGTTGTCTTTTTCCTCTTTCCTCTTTTTCTTTTTTCTTTTTTTTTTCTTTTTTTCTTTTTTTTTTTTTTAGGGGAAGGCTGGTTGCAGTCTATCAGTCCACAGCGTGCAGGTACTGTACTTAGGGTACCGTACCCGTGACCTTACATACCTAGTGTGACCAACCCAAAGGTGGTACAGGCTCCATCAACTACGTTCTAGTCAGTCCCTCCTTGGTCCTTATTTATTATTTATTGGTACCCCTCGCCCGTAGATACTAGTATTGCTCAGGAATCCAATCCGTGTAAATAGAGGGAAGCTTCACTACTTCCGCAGAATTCAGAGACACTCATGACTGACTTCCTGTAACATACACTGCCTGCACTAAGTGGACCGGGTAAGGCTGCTTGTTACCAGAAAAAGTAACATACTGTCATGTGATGTCACGTGTAGACCCTGCTGTCGTCACCGTGGGCCTTATCATCCGCGTCAACGAAATGAAAGATCCGTCCATGCCTACAGAGTCTCAGGGTTCATTCAATCCGGAACCAACTCCCGTTTCTCTCGTTGCACTTCCATGTGTCCTTCCTTGAACACAATTCCGGCCCTTTTCTGTCTGCAATTTTTAGCTAAGTTGATAGTCGCTCTTTAGTTGGCTTGCTTTTCCTCGTCATGAACAATTACTCTTGATTCTCCAAGACCCTGAATTTCCCTTCCGCCTTCTGTATGCGTCTGTACACTCCACGGAACCACCGCCATGATCTCCATATCTTCGATCTCTGTTGGCTCTAATATTTTCTTTTCTTTTGCCCTTCTGGCAATCTCAATCCTTGTCTTACTCCTTCTACGGCGTTTCCTGACCTTGCGAGCTACTCCAGCCTACCTCACGATTCCCGTTTTTCTTGCGCTCGCCCTCCCCGCTAGCGTAGTACTCCTGGTTCCGATCGATCTAGCATCGAGCTCGCGTGATGATGGCGGACCTAGGGCTATTTGGTTGCCTGACCGTTTGATCCTGGTATCCTGGCGCATTGCCTACTGGCTAATCTTTGTGCTAACCTGGTATGTACTACATATGTGCTTCATTTGACCAATTGTAAGGCTTTCATGTTCTTTCAGTACTAATGCGGCCATCTTAAAGGGCTATTCTACCATTGCTTGGTGAATATGTCGACTCCGGCTACCGCGAGCCGAAAGGTCGCATCGAGTACTCCCTCCGCTCTAACGCCCGATATCAACTTATTGTGCTGTGCTGTGCGGTTGTGGGATTGATCTATATATCAATTCAAAATGGGTTCGAGTTTACGTCGATAAAGGCACTTGTTATGGCTCTCGCATACGTATGGGGTCTTGTTCTTGCGATTTATCTGATGGGTCATGGCCTTGTTTCTATACCTCGTACTCTATTCCGCAATGCAAACGTGAGCGGTCGACTGCGCAGAATCCAAGCTCATGCGCCCCGGTTGCACGACCGTCTGATGGATGCGATCACCGACCTTGAGAGTCTCGAATCACAAGTCTCTCAGTTACAACGACGCAAGACTGGCAGTGCTCTGGAGTTCAAGGACTGGATCGAAGACCTGGCTGAGATGTCTAATTCCTCCGAGCAACGGACTGCACTTCTTGAACCTTCCGATGTGTCAAGTACGATCCCATCAGTCATTACAGAGCGCTATATGGCAGATCTTACGAGACGGCTCCAGCGCGCTCGGCATCTGAAGGCCCGCTTTATCGACGAGTGGGATCGTTTAGTACTGACCGCCGCCGATTTGCAAGCCATCATCAACTCATCTGCATCGAAGAAGCTCGAATTTGGTCACGCCCCCCACCGCGCAACGTTTTTTGCACGTCAGAAGATTCTGAATCCCTACATGCGGCACCATCTCTACGTCCACGTAATCCCGAGCGTCCGGCTGCTTTTCGGCGTAATTTTTGCGGCTGCATCTGTGTGTGTTGTCTGGTCAGAATTGATTAAGTCATTGGCGCCCCGGTTGTCAGTTGTGACTCTCTCCATAGTATCCTATCACAAAGATCCAGCACCTGTGGGGTTCGGAAGACAAGTAACCGCTTCTGCCTGGTTGTTGTACATGTGCTGGGCTGCATTAGTTGGTGTCAACGATGCTAAAGTGTGGGGCAATCGCGCTCTGGTTCGCCGCAACACGTACGGTGAAAGCGCTTGCTGGTACGCGGGGCTCGTTGCTAGGCTTACTGTGCCGATCGCATACAACTTTGTAACGTTCTTACCGATGAGTGCCAGGGAGAACACTACGTTTTACCGTTTTCTCGGGCGGTCCATTGACTTGACACCGCTTGGAAAAGGGTTTGATTATTTTTTTCCCATATTCATTCTCGCGCCGGTCTGTGCTACCCTTTTCAATCTCTATGGCCGGGTGAAGAATATCTGTGGATTTGGCCTCTTAGAAGAGGAGGACGAAGATTTGGAAAACAATCCCAGTGGCTATGGTCTAGGAGGCTGGCGCGAAGGTCGCGATCTGATCGAGCGGGAACTCACCGGCCTTGGGTCCCTATCACTTTCTGCTCGTGATCGATCTCCTCAGCCTTCTAGCCGTGTTGAAGAAGGCAATAATGCCTTTTCTTCGTCGCGGACCCCTCGAGGTGAGGCTACCCGACCTTCACGACCATCCCGTGGAGCCGCCACCGCCTCCACTGTAGTGACAGAGGAAGAGGATGACGAAAACTTTTTCCAATCGTTTGCTCACCGGGTGAAAAACACTTTCGAAACTGCTAGTACACCTCAATGGTTGCAGGGTGATTCGTTCCGACTTCCACGGTGGATGGGAAGCGATGGCAACGAGGGCAATAATGGGCTCGCCAGATGGTTTGGTGGTCGACCAGCGCCTGGTGGGGTGAGGCTGTGAAGACTCACCATAGTGGCTTAAGTTCCCAATTTGCATGACGAGGGCGTTGGAAATAGATATGACATAGTTCTGTATCATAAGTTCAAAATTTACGTATATATACTCGAGTTCCTCCTTTGTATTCTTTTTGAGGAGCTGACCTTGGGAACACCGCCGTTTGTAGATGCTCCAAAATAAAAAGAAAAATAAAGATAAAAGAATAAAAAAAAAGGAATTGAACGTAAGTGATAAAACAAATTCCCTTGGGACCCTACACCTATCCATCCAAGCTTTGATAATGTCACGACAAGCTATCAAAATTCTAACATACGCTATCTTATATAGTAAGGCACGAAGCCATCCAGAATAGTAGGATATCCAAGGTCAGAAGTCGTCATTCGTAAAAATTATTTCACTGTCGTGTACATCGTGAGTACGTGTTGACATAGTAAGACAACAATGGCGTTTAGCAAACACTTCTAGTTCACCAAGGCAGAGCACACTAGAAACTCAATATAACAACATATTCTGCAGCCAAAGTCTCTGATGACTTCATGATGTACCAGCCTTTATTTGAGCGAGGTCCTTTGGATTGGTGCTTTGAAAGAGGTCATGGTTCGTGTTTGGGAAGTATAGTCTGGAATCCTTGGATCGGGAAATGAGAGCGGCAGGAAATGGGCATGTGATGTCTCTATATGGGATTTAAAAAGCCTGTATAGTAAAACCCACGGCTTTCATCATAATATATCATACCAGATACCAGATACCATATCAAATAGTATCAACTAATTCCATTAAGGAGGCTGTACTGACAGCACTCAATTCTCTAATTTGTAGTCTTCATCCAGCTTTGTATACAAAGCAGATCGATGGTAGACAAAGCCTCTTTGCAACTTCCTCTTCATTACAAACCCTACTGCTCCCTCTTCATCTTGTATCGCTTTTCATTCCCACCACTCTTCCTCATTTTTATAGCCTCTACGGAAATTGCACAGCGCAAAATCAAGCATGAACTTTTTGAACTTTCCCTCTGAGTTGTTTTGGTTGATAAAGCTTCTAGTTTTAACATCCTCATTAAGAATACCTCGATCGCTGATATGATGAACGATGCGGATAGCTTGTTCGCAGAGTGGCTGCCAGGCTTCTCTGGGGGCATATGCAGCGATATCAGTCAAGGGAAACCCGTCAATATATTGCAAAAGAATCCCAGGTATGTCAGCATACTTATTGACTGACGCCTCGTGCATTGGGGATGACCCATGAAATGTAACACATGCGAACAGTTGAAGGACGTGTTCACCCTGGCTATCCCTCAAGGTATTGTATACCTCAGTTTCTGTCTCATAGAAGTCCCGCATCCATGTATAGAGGTATGTCTCGTCCTGCGCGATACTAAAACCATCCCCTTCTTCTTCAGCAAACCCGTCATTGTTGTCGAGCCGGACGACGAAATCAGATGCGTCACCTTTCAGGACGAATTGCTGGTACTGCTGTTCGATATCTGGAGTCCAGGGGCTGCTTTTCTGATCATCCCTGAAGCCTGTTGCAAAACGACGATCATAGAGGTTCAAAACCGTATGGCCATTCAATTGTAGAGACTGACAGTGGTGGTCTAACAGAACGACCATTGCACATGAAAATGTGAACGGTTCAAGGTGTGCGTTATTGTAGCTTTAACCTGTTGCTTATCAATGTGGAGTGATATCTCATTGCCAACCACATAAGGACACCTGGAGTTGCTTAGTATATCACATCCTTAGTAGTAGTTCTTTACTCTGCCACTTACTCTGCCACTCTACTCTCCATTTTGATTGGACAGATGCTATGAATACCACTGCTACCACTATTGTATCGAAGCTGGGCTCAACACTTCAATAGGAGTTTCTATTACTCAAAAAGATATCGTAATATAATTGACCAACATAGGCCAAGGCTCTTTCTTTTCTTTTATTGGAAATTGGCTGCGTAGCACGGGATGGCTTTAGTAATCATACAGCCTTGCATAACTAATAACGAAACACTAAAGCTTCTGCATCGAGTTCTTTCGAAATTTTCCAAATGGAAAATGTGACTATGATTGTGTGTCTCAATTATATCCATTGTAACCATGCTATGCATTGTCTGTTTGTCCGTGTTCCCAGTATATGCAAAATATGACTGTAGTACGGATGAGAGTAAAGTTGGAGCTATATGGGGAATTAATTCATGTAGAACAGGGGAACATTCCTCCGTATTGCCGCAAGAATATCTACCCATTCTCGAATTCACCCCAGATTTCACCCATATTACCCAGATCTCCCAACAAGGCTCACTCAGGCCAGGCAACTATCGCCTGACCTCGTCCCAAGTTAATACTGGGTAGAGTAGCCTAAGTTCTGCTCCACTGAATGAGGAGTGACTGCGGCAAAATGTCCGCCTGGGCTCTCCGCCTTGTTTGCCTATTTCGGAGTTGAGAGGACAGCTCGGGCTTCTCCCTTAATGACCTCAGCGTCCACCGCTCAATTTTTTTGCCTCTTCCTTTGACATAATTCATTGATGACCCAACTGCTGTTGCATGATTCTCAGTCCTTTTTGGGCGAGACTTGTGCATTCTACCTGACTTACTTTAAAAACAAGTTTCCTACGTCCCTCAACACCATTCAAGACAAATTCGTCGCAACCATTTCTGCTGAAACGCCTTTCTCCTTGCGCTCCCTTGGGCCCCCACCAACTTGGATCACCGAAAACACTTTCGCCGCTGACAAGCTTACACTTGCTGTTACCATCCTTGCTTGCGCACTAGCAGCAGCCATTATGTCCTGGCGCTCTCCATTCAGTAACCTCTTCCGTCGCTCTCCACAGTATTCCACTGTCTCCAATACGCCGCAAGTCAGCGATAGCGATTACAGTTACATCGTCGATGGTGCGGCAGGCACATATGGAAATCAAGGCGACAATGCGCCAGACACACTTCTCCTTAAACACAAAAGGAACGCATATGAGTTGAATTTCCCGGCATACGCCATTAATGATGGGACGCTCAGCGTTCGCGAATTGAGGCGACGAGCTGCGGAAGCGACAGGCGCTCCCGACCCAAAGCGGGTTAAGCTACTCTACAAGGGCAAGCTTTTGGACGACGATGAACTATCCTGTCGGGATGAGGGGCTCAAACAACAGTCGGAGGTGCTATGCGTGGTATCGGAGGTCGGAGAGAGCACCCCTAGCGAGGTGTCCGACGCGGAGGATAAGGCCAGCGACTCGGCGCCTGCGGATGATGCGCCCCGGCCGAAGAGGATTCGCAACCGGAATAAGAACAAGAAGAACAAGAATAAGAAAAAGAACAAAGATGGCGCTGACACTCTCGCGCGGCCCGCCGACCAGAAACCCTCTGCATCCCCCAGCAGATCGACGCTGCCAGCGCCGGCTCCCAACCTCAAAGCCTTCAGCACCCCACTTGAGCAAGCACAGGCACTTTCAGCGTACTTTCAAAGAGAGCTGTTGCCACTTTGCGATGAATATATTGCCAATACCCCGACCGATCCTAAGTCGCGTGAATTTGAGCATGCGAAGTTGAGCGAGACGATTCTGGCGCAAGTGATTCTTAGGGCAGATGGCATTGAGCCCGATGGGAACGTTGACGCTCGAAATGCGCGCAAGGCACTGGTCAAGGAAGCGCAGTCCACCCTCACCAAACTGGATCAAGCAAAGGCATGATTGCCTAGCGCCTCACCGGTTCGATGTTTGCTGTACATTTTTTATGTTACCAAGTTTATAACTAATCACTTGATGTCCTCACCCATCACTGTATATGTCATGAACATATTGGCAGATATTGTTGCTTGATATGAATATAGAATCTGCGTCGTACTACCATATAACAGTGGGCATTAGATGTATCATGATGGTTCCTTCCATGGCACTTACCCCTTTTGGTTGTGTATCTGGAAGATCCTACATAGCCTTTAGCACTTATTCTGATCTTCCAGTGATGTATGATTAGATATTGTCGATCGCAATCAAATTACTACTAGACAAATGGCACGTGGGCCTAAGCTCTAGATGATCAATGAGGAGTGTTCATGCTGTGGCAATGAATCTTTGAAGTCCAATAGAGTTAGCCTCTACTGCAAGCCAACTCATCCCGGGGCATATCGCTTTCGTCTTTGGATAATGAGATCTCGCGTGCAGAAACTTAATTAGGCGTTCATCATGCTCAACTTATGGTTAAATGTAAAATCCTTGGAGGGTCCAGTCTTCTCACAAGGCTAATTCTCACACCCAGGCTTTGCCGAAAGTTTAGAGTCTACACTTCTTGTTGACTGGTCCCAGGCCAAAAGTCTATTGTTCGGTGATCATTTCTTGTAAGCCACGGGAGAACCAGTAAGATTCTTGTTTGGTACCATCACAGGCCGTGGTATGAGCAATCTGGTAGGGTAGTACAAGCTGTACCCTCGGAATACTTCATGAACCGCTCTTGGTTTGAGGATAGTCACATTGTATTAATTAGTCAGTGAATAGCTTCAGCAAGGAAATTTGAAGGTGGATCCGATGCACCTGGTGAAGGTCATTAGATCTCAGCCACATTGTCTACTCCGGAGTACTTCGGCTTACTCCGTATACATACATAGGGACATACAACCATGTCCATGATTAAAATTGGAAGGACCTGTGCATCTGTGCTGCCGAGATATTGAATGCCAAATCTGGCCATGAAATTAGTCCTTCGCAGACAAAGAGTTATAAGTCTAATTGAATTTTCTGATTGATCGATCCTAGAGTACTTTATCGGCTACCGATCGTCGGTACAGAGTACGGAGGACAGGGAATGATGCAGAAATGTTTTTACCGAAGTGAGGCAACCGAATGCACGGATGGTCTGGCAGTGGATAAAAGGGGGCACAGCCGACGACGCAAGTGGAAACGGTTTTGTGAGAGATCACCTGCGAGACCTTAGTGCCGATGAGGGAGCACATGGCTGGGACTCGAGGTGTTCCAAGACCTCCATATCGTCCATCATGAATCATGATATACTGAGGAAGTACCCGTTAGGTACCCAGCAAACCTTACCATATTTAAATTGACACTGGGTTGACAGATATTTTACCTCGAAGGTCTAGGCTGTTTCGGCTGGGGACCTGGAATGGTGACTAGTCGTTAGGCTAAAGAACCTTAGTCGACACCCGCCAAAAGGTAACTAAGCTCCGACATAGTGATAGCGTGCCCCATCGCAGTCGTTCTCTTTCTTCTCTGTAGTTTTTGTTCTCCGCCCCTTCTTCTCCCCCTTCCCTCCCCGTTCATTCCATTTGTTCTTCATTCGTCTCCCTGACTCTCGTTCTATGTGGAGGGTCTTGAGTTCTATACCTACTACTTTCCTACTAATAATAATTTGATTCACCATCTATTTCTCGTCCCCTTTTCTTGACCATATTCTTTTATTATTATAATTATTATTATTATTTTCTTTTGCTCTCTACGATTTGCATCTCGTGTGCGTCCTTGAATTGACCTTGCAGGCGCCACAGTCCAGCCACACTCTGGTTCGCTCGCACTCCTTTTTCGTTCCTAATTTTTCCTTTGCTTCTTCCCCTCATTTTCCAGCTTTCTCTTCGCCCCTCGACGGGTTACGCCCCCTTTCCCTATACGACTGTCATTTTCCGTCTTTCTTTGGTTGTCTTCCCTGCTAGAGATTTATTCTGTCTGCAATATTACACGGGACTCTATACTGTGCACTGACTTGGGGATCTTGTGCCATCTACCATCGTCATCAATTGTTGGCTGATCCCGCTCCCTGAACCGAAACGCATCCACGGTACTGTCACCGCCGGTATCCGTTCAACTATTGCTTCAGCCCCAATCCTCGACATATTCTCCGCCGGTCCCCTATTTACACATCACTCTTTCGGGCCGCTTCCTTGCTTCCCCTTTCTTCCCACCGGCCGAGCAACTGCCCGCAGCGTCCTCAGCACCCCCCCCCCGGACCACCTCCCAACCCTGAGCCGAACCCGCTGCTCGGCTTGCACTTCGTGATCTTGAGGCAAAGGTGCCCGGTGGCTGGTGCTTAAGGTTCTGCATGCATTGGGATGGCATGATCGGGGAGAAATATAGCGAATTCAATCTCTTTAATCTCACCAGACAAGTACACCTGTACCCTCAACTTGGTTCCAGCTGGACTGGCCTTGTTTCCTTGAGTTAATTTCATTGCTGTTGGAATGGCGGGAGCGGCAGCGGCAGCATTCTCTTCAGATGTTTGGTTGTCGTCCGGTGTAGATTCAAACCAGCACCAGTGGGAGTTTTCAGTCCCGCTTACACCAAATGTAAGTCTCATTTGGCCCATGTTTGTCCGCCGGCCTCGGCCTTGATGCATTCTTGAGATAGAAAGCTCCCACCACTCTCCCTTGTAGGTCTACGACCAGCTAACCTTAATCTTCGGTAGAGTACCGTTCGTCGTTCTAAGTCCCGGTCTTCATACGAGTCCACCAACCGATCAAGACGTAATTCTAGGGGATCCCGTAGCTCCTCACTGTCAAAACATGCCTACGCACATGAGTTAGGATATATGAATTCTCGAGGACGAAGAGATGTTAGCCATGGCCGGCGCGGAAGCGAGGCTGGGAGCTCGCGAGATGTCTATGGACAGGATGCGATGAGTCGCAGCATTGGCAATTTCAGGAACTCGGAGGATACATATAATGGATCTCTAAGGAAGAGTGAACTGAAAGAAGGTGCCAGACCATACCCGGAAGACGCAGACGATACAAACTGGATCCATCGTGACAAACTAGCGAAAATCGAAAGTGAAGAGTTGCAGCAGATCCTCTTCCAGCGCCGAGTAGGATCTGGGAGTATTAGGTCCGGGCGTGGAAGAAATCATGATATGCACCATAATGAGGTTACGACACCGCCGATAGAACAAATGGAGCCCTGGCCAAACCTGGAAGGTCAACGAGAGATCGCTGGCTCCCCGACCGGTCTCGATAATGACACACGCGGCAACTGGGACCTTCGCAAGCCTGAGGAGATCGCGGCGGACGACGGCGCATCTAGCATATACCACAACCCTGCTCTTCGCAAGAGCTCGTCTCGAATCCCCATTCCCACTGCTAGCACCGCGCCTTTGAACCGTTCGCGTGCGAATACCATTAGTGACGAGGAGACCCTGTCATTTGGTATGCCTCGCAGGGCTAGTGAGCCTATCACGGTAGATTTGACGAATGCCTCGCCCCCGGCTGCTGGGAGCCGGCCCGCTAGCCGGGGTGTCCAAGCCCAGATTAACGCAGCCAAGAAGACGCCCGCTAAGGGTGCGGCTGGCACTGGGACTCGGAAAACATCCGCTCCTGCGTCAACAAGGAGGCCTCCTCCCCGAAGTCGTACTACGTCCAATAACAATTCTCAGCGTCAGGGAAAGCCGGGCGATCGTCCGAAAACTGCTGTCAACCGCCCTGAAGGGGACCCCCCGTGGCTGGCGACCATGTACAAGCCAGACCCGCGTCTACCCCCAGATCAGCAAATGCTGCCCACTCATGCGAAACGGATGCAGCAAGAGGAGTGGGAGAAAGAGGGCAAGACACCAACTACGTATGATCGCGAGTTTGCTCCGTTAGCGGTTGGTCATGATGGTCCAAGGCCTGTGGAGAGTACTGAGAAGGTGGAGGATCCAGAGAAAAAGCAAGAGCCAACGCCTTCGCAGCCCCAGCCCAAGCCCGAACCACCAAGCGCACCGAAGACCCCAGACCCGATCACCCGACCAAATACAGGCACTGGGTATAGTCCTATGCCCAAACTGCAAGAACCTTCCCAAGCGGCTCCCCAAGCGGCACTGACACCCAAATGGAGTCCGCCCGTTGTGACGGCAGAGCCACCGCCGCCAAAGGAGAAGGGTTGCGGATGTTGCATTGTGATGTGATGTTTCACATCGTACTTCTTTCCCAAGCTATTCGTCATTTTGATGGCGACGTATTCTTAATTTTCCCTCGGAATTCTTACCCCCGTTTCGCATTATATTCCTTCGGTTAGCGTGTCATGTTGGTTGTTGTTGATCACCAGTGCTCTCTGCTTTTAGGACCTTTTTAATTCCCTGTCCATTTTATTGTCGCCCCATCCGGATTTTCCAATTTCTTGCGTTGTGGCTAGTCGCTCCTTGCATGATTCCCCTGTGTCTGCTGTACTTCGTATTTCCTTTCATGTCAATCCAAAGAATACCATTGACTCGTGGTCTCTGCAAGCTCCCAGGTCAAGAGCCGTGATCCCCTGGGTCGTATACAAGTGAAGCAGCCGGGGGATACTTCTGATAACGACTTCACGATGCACTCCTTCGATTCTCTTTCGATTTGACTAATTTGACCGTACAGTTGAGGTTTATTCCCATTTCCTTAACTCTTTTTCATTTCCTTTGCATTAAAAACACACAGCACCAGTATTCCGCGACTTACATCCGATCCGAGTGAGGGTCGAGAGACAGCTATTGAAGCAATTGACCCGCAGTTTTTACTTGAACTGACATACCAAGTATATCTATATACAAATAAACCATGAGTATTTTAAAATTGATCAGTAGTAATAGACATCAATGAGCACCTAAGTATTCAGAAAGTAGTGCTAAGAGTGAGCCTGAGGCCTGGATTGACATCATCGCTCAGCCATCTTACATAATCCGGGCCTAACATCATTTCCCGGACAAATTAGTCAACCGCGGGAAATCGCAAGCAACAATCAAGTATAACTAACTGTATATAAACCCTATTCCACCCCTCCAATCTCCCCCTCCAATATCCTCTCCATCGGAGAACCCAGTTGCCCACCATTTCTTCCATCTTCTCTCGTCTCTTCGGGTCCTTCGCCGGTCCCACCCCAGCCGTTATGTCTGCCGCTAAGACCAAAGCCCAGGGTATCATCAACGACAATGCCGTCGGTAAGCTCAACTCTCTCCCCCGGGCCCAGATAATAAAAAGCCACGCCTCTAACCCAAGACCAAATAAAACAATCTAGTCGTCTTCTCCAAGTCCTACTGCCCCTACTGCTCATCCAGCAAGAGCGTCCTCGACAAGCTGAAGGCGAAGTACATCGCCATCGAACTTGATGAGGAGAGTACGTTTAGATAACTCCCCTGGGCCGCTTTCTACACAAAACTATATACTATGATAGCCCCTGTGATATCTCATGAGACTAATTTTGTTTGTTATCTGTAGGCGACGGTGGCGCCATCCAGGACGCCCTCCAGGAAATCACCGGCCAACGTACCGTCCCCAACATCTTCATCAAACAGAAGCATATCGGTGGAAACTCGGATCTGCAGGCTCGCAAGGATGAACTGCCTCGTTTGCTGAAGGAGGCCGGTGCTCTTTAGATTATGCTTTAAGATCGTTGTGTATACCATAGACGGAATGCATTTGTTTACATGATATCATTGCTTTGTGTGATGTGTGGGCTCGGTGATTGAACTTGGGTCGGCGAGGTTCGGGGTTTGTAGTCATTGGATTCGTTTAGGGGTTACCCCGCGGAGCATGGTGGTGGGGTTGGGGGGTGTGGTGATTGGTTCAGTAGGTGTCTGTGCTAAAGGTATCTGTGAAGAAAGTTTGTGTAGATGGTGAATTTGGTGAGATGGGGTACTTGGTGTTTGGGGTTTGGAGTTTCGGTGTTTGATCGGGTGGGCGGAGGAGATTGTACTCTCGAGTATACCACTTAGGAAGTTGGTGTCTGGGATTTCAATCTATACTACTCGTAGACTGATAAATAGCCTTCAATCTGAGAAGAGTGAGAGGGATTGGTTGATTGCCTACTATTACATATACCAGATAAAATTACACAATCTTCTGCACGACAGTCCCAACGGGCCGTTCAACAATACCCATCACTCCATCCACAACACTCTGCCTGGCACCCTCACTCGATACATTCTTACCAGCGAGATAATTCAACCAAACCAACCGACTAATCCGCTCATCGGACACGCGCCCCAAGAACCGCACCGGCTTAGCGGGATCTGGATGGAAAAGCGCATCCAACTCCCCACGGTCACCACGCACAAGCAACAACGTCTGCCCCTTGGGTACATTCTTCCTCTGTCCACCACCAAACAGACTCTTAAAATCATTCAACGCAGCCCCAAATGACTCATCCTGGAACTCGCTCTGCGCACCCTCCAACGCCTTCGCATTCGCCTTCTGCGCCCGCCCCGTAATCCCCCTCACCCAGCCGTCGCGCAGATGCAAGAAATCCGTATTCCGCGTAGGAACAATCCGGAACGCAGTCTTCAGGCCATCCGCCCTGATAACGGCATCCCAGACCTCATCACCCCGCTCCGCATCCAAAAGCAACTCCTTCAACCCCTGTCTCTCCGTGGAAACCAACGATGTCGCAGACGTTGCACCAGGCGTATTAACAACAACCCCCTCTTTCGCCCCCGGCGGGTTCACCGCCGTCCGCACAAGCCGTTGCTGCAGCTCCGAGATATCGCTCTTGGCCACATACATCCCCACAACATACACCTGGATCTTAAGGAACGACACAGTCCGAATTCCCAGCCCAAGCAACTGATACTCCTCTTCCTCAACTGACTCGGGAACCTCATCCCCGGGATTCAAAGCCCCCGCATCAAGGCCCTTCGGTAACCGGATCACGCTCGGAAAGGTAGGAATTGTGCTCGTCCCTGTAGGCACCTCCTCCGCGCCATCTTGTCCCTGTATCCGTATCACCGACGGATTACCCCCGAACCCAGCCGGTCCGTCTAGTTTCATTGCCCCCTCTTTCTGGACCGGGACTTGGTTTTCTTCTTTCGCTGAAGGAGAGGCTTGGTCGAGTCCGAACACATCCAGCTTGATGACCCCGTACATCGCCGCCGCGCAGGCTACTATCCCTGCCGCGGCAAGAGTCATTGAGTTTTTGGACCGGGCGATCTCTGCTTCGCGCGCGCGCGAGCTGGTGGAGTTGCGGAGTGGGTTCTTGGGTGTGGTGGAGCGGAGGGTGCGGGTTGTGCTTAGCAGGCGCTGAGGGGTTGGGGTTGCGCCTGTTGGGCGGAGGTATTGACGTCGGATACATTGTGTGCAGGCGCGGAGGGGTGTGCCCTGCATTGTTGATGTTGGTGGTCGCATTGTTGCTTTGATGTTGAGTGGTTTGTTGTTTTAGGTTGCGGATGGGCGGATGTGGTAGGTTAACCTTGGTTGGCTTGGCGGTGATGTCTCTTCACGTGACTTTAAGTTGCCCTTGGTTGTTGTGGTTGGTGATTTGGATGTTTGTTCTGGGGGTAATTAGCTGGGAGTTGTTGTTGTGGGATTTCTTTTGAGGGGTATTGGTGACTATGGTGTGGTTGTTGAGGTGGTGGCTGGGCTGAGATAGTTCTGTAGTATCAAGTACTGTTTGAGGCTGATGGCATTGGGATCGGAGGTTATACATGGATATCATTGAAAGCAACCAGTTTATGAAATCAAAGCACTACGATACTACAACTCTATGTTTCCCTCCACCACTCACGGTAACCGTCGCTGTACCATCGACGTAGTACACGCCCTTGTAGATATCGTTCCCGTCAATCGTGATCGATGGCTTCTCCGAGCTCCTCACATACGGCAACGTCAGATTCCCCTTCGTCCCAGGCGGGACGGAAAATTGCAATGTATACCCATCCGGACTCTTATCCCAGGACGCCTGGAACTTTCCGAGCGACGTTGTGAACCCACCCTCGACGGTCTTGAGATCGCCGAACTGCGGCGCAATTTTCCACGTCAGGCCGCGCGGTGACGTGATGGAGAGACCCAGAAGATAGGTTGTCAAGGCATTTGTTGGACCGGCGGACCACCCATGTGCATGCGAAACATACGAGGGATCGTGGCCGTACCCGCGATCGGATCTATATCCGAATGAGCCGTCTACTAGATATCCCTCGATTACCGTGCTCTCGGTGCCGTTGGGATTATTGAGGTACCAACCCCAGCTTCGTCGGATGAGCTCCAGCGCTCTGGTGGACTGGCCAATCTCGAAATGGCCCTGGATTTCAAAGGATGAGATGAATGGAGAGATGTTATTCGGTAACTCGGGCGTCTCGGCACCAATCGGGGTCCAATTTTGCAAGAGATTCTTGGAGATCCGGCTGGCTCTGTCTGGGTCAACGACTCCGTAGAGCAGGGCTAGACTGTTTGCGTCCTGTGGGTGTAGAGATGTGATTGTGGCGTTGTCTTTGAATGCACCGTATTCATCGTCCCAGCAATACTCGTTGATGGACTGTACCAGGTCTGTGGCTTGGGCGTTCCATTTGTTTGTGAAGGTGCCGGAGCCTGCCCAAGTGGCTAGCTGTGCGCCTGTCGTAAGGGTATGGTATAGTCTAGTATTTGTTAGACAAGGGAAATATGGTGGATGGGCGGCACTTGCATCATCTGTGCTTCGCTGTTGCTGTATCCCTGCTGCCATCTGGCCCAGTCGCGCGTGCTGGTGACATTCAACAGACCGGTTGAATTATCAACTTTGTTGTAGATATAGTCCATAGCTTTTCGGTACTTGTTCCAGTTCTTCGATAGAAAGGAAGTATCGTTAGTGTAGAGCAGATAGTTGTACGTTCCTATCATGGACCACATGTGGTAGGTATCGGAGTTTTTTTGACTCAGCGGTGGTCCTGACTCGTCGAAAGCGCCCGTTGATTCATCCTGTCATTGTTAGATGTGAAAGGTAGGCATCTGCAGAAAGGATATACATACCTGAGTATCGTACATTGTCTGCAGGGCATTCTTCACGCTTTCCAAGTCGCCAGTGCTAACGAATGCCGCAGGGACCGCTACGCCCATGTCGCCTGGCCATACGGCACGATCACGTTTCGCACCGTCCACGAGAATTGTATCTCCAGGTCCCATCGTCGCATTATTGGCCCATCCTTTCGTGAGCATAGGTACCTGGCGACCCGTGTCCACAGGGACTGCATTGGTCTGCAGCGTATAGGCCCCACTGTACCAGATGCGATTCAAGAGATCATCATTGGAATGGAAATATCCTTGATAGGCCCGCAGATTAGACCAGGTAGGTTGGAAGCCAATCTCCAAGCTCACGGCATCAATATCGACTGAAACTTGATCCTTTGTGACCAAGAATACAGACAAATACCGAAAACCTCCACGAAGAGACTCATCCGGCATAACATACAACGCGGACCCATCTTTCGTGAAATTAGCATACAAAGCACCATCGGGGCCCTTAAAGGCACCATTGGAGGAATCCGACCATTCTCCGATCCAATTTTTCGCTTCGGAGAAAGCCAAGCCCAGGGCGCCACTGCCGCCTTTGGAGGTGAAATTCAGGGTGACGATGCCGCCCACCTCGATACCGAAGTCGAACACCACTGCCGATCCATTTCCGCGCAACGTGTACGGTTTAGACTTTTGATAATCGACCGAGGCGTTCGGTCTGGCCAGCGATAAGATCGTCCGCTTAGGGCTGACGGTTCTGGACGATGGCGCGTAAATGTTTTCCTCCCACGGCCCTGGAAAGGCGCTATCTTTCGGTCCGGCGCATGTGACGTCGCGCCAGCAATTTTGCGCCAGAGTAAATTGAAAGAGAGCCAGCAAACTCAGGAGGAAAGAAATCCGGTACCCCAGAGCCATTTTTGCCATTCAATGGGGAATACCCAAGGGGACTCGGTAGCACTTTACCTGATCGAAAGGTGAGTGGGAGAGAGTGTACACTGCAAGAAAACCATTCATTGTTTTTTTTTTTTTATTTTTGTCCGGCGGGATACGTGGAATTAAGTACTTAACTTGTCCGGCTGACTTCTATATTAGAGGCTTGCCTAATCGGTGTTGGAATGTTTTGCAGGGGGAGGGGAAGAGGGGTTGGTTTTGGGTCTTTTCCCCTTGGCTTACACTATATAAATGCCGGATTGCCCAATATCGGTAAAGTGTTGGCTTGTAACCGTTCGTCCAGCGATCAATTAGCGTCCTCACTGGGGACCTTTTCGGCTCTCCCCGTTTGGCTCCACTTCCTCAATTCTCTTCCCATTTTCAGCATTATTATTAATATCAATACTAATGTTAAATATTAATATTATTCTGAATCAATAATGGACCCTCAATAGTCCGATGGTCAGACAAATGGAGTCCCCGGGGCGACGGAAGTCAGCTTCTCTTCCCTCTTTTCGCCTAATTTCTCCCTAGTTCTCGGAGAATTCCTGTTGTTTTCTAGGGGAGGCAAGGAGTCAACTGGTATGACATCAGCCAAGTGCTGAAAGATTCAGCGAAGGATTCGATTCTCAGGCACCGTTGACCATCGGGTGTCTTCTGTTCCTCGCTATAATTCCATCCGGGGGCAGTATCTGAGCAGTTGCGTTGTTATGGCTCCGCAAGAAGCATTATTGGCGGAGAATATATACAAGCTTCTGTCAGGAGAGCTTCCTATCGGGGCAGCGATTGACACATCCCGTTGACGCGCAATTAAATCGTTCCCCTTCCCCCAGTAGCCGATCCTCTCCGCATCTTTGCGATTTAGGCGAACCGACATACTTCGTCGTCGGGGTGCAGATCAAAGAATCTCGGTACATCTGCCACCGAAAGTTTAGCGAAAGTCTGATCGATATCATCGAAATGTGGAGATAAATAGAAAGTATACTTGATGAGTATAGTAGACTGTAGACCTGTGGAGCTCTGTGTAATAATCTTTTCTCGTCAAGAAAACATCCCCGATCATGCGTTGGCTTAGTTCTCCTCTTGTCGCGGTTTCCCTGTCGCTAGGGCTATCTGCTATTGGCCATGCGTCCCAGATCGACCACAAGGGCAATATCTGCACGGTCAAAGCGAACGGCAATCAGACGGACGATGTGCCGAGACTCCTAGAAGCGTTTCAGAAATGCGGCAACGGGGGCACCATTGTCTTCCCCGAAGACCAGTCGTATTGGATCGCTTCGCGCTTGAACCCCATCCTGAACGACGTGACGATTGAATGGCGGGGAAAATGGACGGTGCGACTTCCCATACTTTCGTCACCTCATACCATGTGCAACTAATAGAAAATTCTCCCCACAGTTCTCCGATGATCTAGATTACTGGCGCAATAACTCTTACCCTGTTGCTTTCCAGAATCATGCTGCAGGCTTCGTGATTACGGGACACAACATCACCATCGATGGATACGGCACTGGAGGCATTGACGGCAACGGCAATGTCTGGTATACCGCAGAAGCAGGCAGCACTCAGCCTGGAAGACCAATGCCTTTCGTCTTCTGGAACGTCTCGAACGTCCACGTTGACAATTTCTACGTCAAGGACCCGCAGCTTTGGGCCCTCAATATCATGAATGGTACCGATATGCAGTTTAACAACATCTACTGCAATGCGACAGCGGTGGATGCACCTTGGGGGGAGAACTGGGTCCAGAATACAGATGGGTTTGGTGAATAAAACTATGCTTCCCCTTTCAACATGCATAGACTAATATGTATCGTCCGATAGATACAATGGACGCGAAAAACATCCGTCTCACCAACTTCGTATATCAAGGCGGAGACGACTGTGTCGCGATCAAGCCCAGATCCTACGATATTGATATTCACAACGTCACCTGTCGCGGTGGCAATGGCATCGCCATCGGCAGCGTGGGTCAATATAAAGAAGACTCGAGCGTCGAGAACGTACGAATCGACAAGGTCAAGGTACATATCCTCCTTCTTCGTCAATATATCCCATTGCAACGGTCACTGACGTAAACAGCTCATCCGATACAACGAAGACATGCACGGCAGCGCCTACATCAAGACATGGATTGGCGTACCCACCCCGCAGGACTCCTATGAGAGTGCCGGTCTCCCCCGCGGCGGCGGCTGGGGCAATGTCAGTAATATCATTTTCTCGAACTTTGAGGTTCAGGGTGCCAATACAGGTCCTATGATCTATCAAAACGAGGGCAATAACGGTTCGTTTGCTGGTACGAGTCTCATGACCGTTTCTGACATTACTTTTGCCAATTTTACGGGCTATGTCACCAATGAGAACGAGGTGACTTCGACTATCTCGTGTTCCGAGGACCATCCTTGTTATGATATCGTCTTTGATAATGTGGTTTTGTATCCGGGGAAGAATGCATCTGAGCCTGGAATAGGCTCTTGCAAGTGGACTACTGACGGCGGGGTTCAGGGACTGGAGGGATGTTGAACCTGAGAGTTTTAAATGACAATATTCGGGTGATTGAACATATGATCCGAGGTATGTATATAGGAGGTTAGTATTTACTCAATAGCTTGAAGTCTCATAGTAAATTAATTGAAGGCTGGTACAAAGACTGCCCGATAAGAATCGCAATTGCTCTTCCACTTAGTAGCGGCGTCGGTATTGAGGAATATTAAATCTATTTTATCAAAGTGCGCACAACAAAAGATACTGAATAATTCTGGTGACACAAGAAATAAGCGATTGAGTTGACAGTGTAACTGACCAGTCCTGTTGCTCAATTGCATGCTGGCTGCCGACATCCCCCTCCGCAGATGCAAAGCTCATACTAAGCGCGAATCACGTCAGGCCAACCCGCCAAAACCCCAATCACCTCAAAGACTGATATCTCAACAATCGAGCGACAACCGTTCGGTTAGTTTAGTTATTATGTCGAAACTGTGGGGTATCTTTGCGCAACGTACGCTGAGAAATAGTGTAGGTGTCACTCAACTATAAGTATGGTTCAAGATGTGTAGAAGCTATCTTCATTTTCTCAACAACTATCAGTTGGACCCCTTTATTAACTCTCAATTGAAATATCATACCATGGGTCCGAGATACCGCAGCGTAGCAGTCATTGGCACCGGCCCATCGGGTGTTTCTGCCGTCAAGGCCTTGAACGATGAGAAGATCTTCGACACCATTCGCGTCTTTGAACGACGAAATCGAGTCGGGGGCCTCTGGCACTTTGACCCAATCCCCGACCCTTTTCCGGCCTCTACTTCATCAAGTGTGATGCAGAGCAAAATCCCATCAAACTTTCCAACCTTCACACTCCCGGCACCTGAAGACACAACAGCGCGGACAGCCATCTACGACACCCTTGACAGCAATGTCGGCGCCGGAGCCATGGCATTCACACATTCTTCGTTTCCAGAAGCCAATTCCGCTCTATCAGTCAGGCAATATGGGAAGTCGAATCCCTCCCGTCCGTTCCGGGTTGTGGCTTCATACCTAGAAGACCTGTTCAAGGAGTATCTCCACCTCGTCTCTTTCAATACAACAGTAGAGAGGGTAGAAAAGAAAGACGACAAATGGACTGTCACGCTTCGGAAACCCGGTCATCCTCGCAACAACCAGCCAGTAGATTACTGGTGGCAAGAGCACTTTGATGCTGTGATAATCGCATCGGGACATTACAATGTCCCCTGGATCCCAGACATAGCAGGTCTGGACCAAGCCTCCAATACCCATCCGACGAACTTCGAACACTCGAAGGCATTCCGCTCGGCGAATGATTACGTCGATAAGAAAGTAATCGTGGTCGGAGGGAGCATATCCTCCGCTGATCTCGTAGCGGATCTACACCCGATCGTCAAGGGACCACTGTATCTCTCCCAACGAGGGAAAAACGAAGCCTTGCAAGCTGCGTGGGAGCTTCCCAATGTCGAGGGGAAGCCGACAATTGAGCGCGTCGAGACAACCGAAACAGGAATCAATGTGATCTTCGCGGACGGTAGTGTCATCGAGAACGTGGACAAAGTCATATTCGCAACGGGCTTCAAGCTCGCCTATCCGTTCCTCAGCCCCAATCTTACCACGCCCAACAACCGCGTAGCTGGGTTCTACCAGCATGTGTTCAAGATCGGAGATCCATCGTTAGCGCTAGTAGGCCAGGTACGAGCGGCGATTAGTTTCCGGGTCTATGAGTATCAGGCTGTCGCCGTGGCACGGTATTTCGCTGGTCGGAACGCAAAGGCTTTGCCTAGTCCGCAGGAGCAGGATCTGTGGGAGGTCGAAAGACTGAAGTATAAGGGTCCAACCTCCCTCTTCCATGAGATTAAACCTGATTTCAAGGAATATTTTGACTTCCTCCGTGATTTAGCGGGCCCACCTGCACCGGGAACAAGTGCTTATGAATTGCCGCCATGGGACGATAAATGGGCCGAGCTGGGATTTGGGGTTTTAGGCCTGAAGGATCAATACTGGAAATCTCTGAAAGCTGCTGCAGAGCAAGTGAGGGCTAAGCTGTAGGGATATGTACATATAGCTATGTGAGATGAATCTGCGTGCGATAGAGCTTTTGCTGGATTCTGAGTAGACAATCTGATGGGTAGTCGGAATACCGCTAAGGTACTCTTCTGTGGTGGCATTAAATCTTCTATCTCTGCCATGAGTTGCATCAGTCTTTTATCCCATATACCTGTCATACTGAGTATACCATACCTGCTTCCAGATTATGCAATGGATATAGCCTCATTGATACATCGCAGTATTCTCTGCTAGCATCTATCTATTCCAGAAGATATCCAAGGATACTTCTCTGATCCATTTTAGGAACATATAAGATCTCTGAATCATTCGATGTTTCGTGGACAGATTCCTATCTCGAAGAGTTTTCTGAAGCAAGGTTGGCTTCACTTATACCTCGGTGTCGTTAGAACGAAAAGAATTAAGAGACTCAGAAAGCCTGTGAAGACGCCAGCGCACCAGCTGGCGCTCAATTAAGGACAGTTGAGCAGGTATTGGGTACACATAGAAGCAGTCGACGAGATCTTCAGCTAACAAAGCCCCTGCATGATTTAAAGTCTGCATCAGCAATCACAATCACCGTGCTACGACAACAACAGCAATTCCCCTCCCTAAACAAAAACCAGGTACAGGTAGTACTACTATGGACATACATCGCAAACCCACCAATCAGAGATATACTAAATCTACAAGAAAAAGTCAACCAATCAAATATTCCGCGCGGGGCGAACCAAACAAAAGCTTCGATCTAAAAGTAAAAAACCAACGGAACCAAAAAACGAACCAATCTCCAACGTCGCATTTCTTATCACCCCAATCTGGATACCTCAGTTTATCACCTACCATCCCACTTTACTGCAACCTCCCATACTCAATAACCACAACCAACTGTCTCACCCTCGAACCTAAATCTCCCCCACTCACCACAATGGATAAATACACAAAAGCCATCGAGCTCATCGACGCCGCCCACGCGCAAGACCCCAAAACCATCACCCCTCCGGACTCCCCCACACCAATCCCTTACGAACTCCACTACGCCAACAAAATGACCAAATACCTTTCCCTCCGCTGCCCCTCTGCGCCCGAAACACTCCGTCTCGCTATTCGCGCGCAACATCTCAAGCGCTGGGAGGTCCCGCGGTCTTCGTACCCCATGACTAAAATTGGGTACCATTCTTGGCGGAGTGGTCTGCAGAAGCGGCAGGCGGAGATCGCGGAGGGGATCTGTTTGGAGGCAGGTTATTCGGCGGAGGAGGCAGGGAGGGTGGCGGCGTTGGTGAGGAAGGAGGGGTTGAAGAGTGATTCGGAAACACAGGTGTTGGAAGATGTGGCTTGTTTGGTGTTTTTGGATGACCAGTTCGAGGAGTTTGAGAAGGGGTATGATGAGGAGAAGGTCTTGGGAATCTTGAGGAAGACGTGGGCTAAGATGTCGGATGAGGGGCGCGAGTTGGCTCTGAAGATTGACATGTCTGAGAGGGCGAGGGGATTGGTTGTGAAGGCTTTGGAGGGCTAAACTTATGTTTTCTCTTGTTATTGTATATAATGTTGTTCAATGATATGTTCTGCAAGTGGAGATATTATATTGTGATGCCGGTTGTATTAGTCGTCTATTAGTAGCATCGAGTATCATCGTTAATTTTCCCCTTCCTGAACGCCCGTCGCTGTCTATTATGCCCATGAAATCAAGAAATGCCCGAAATGACCCTGGATATTCAAGCACCACCTCCGAACATCCTTAACAGAGCAATCGCAGCTCCCGCCGCGACACCACCAACAAAACACATCTGCACTCCACCCTTAATGCCCGCAGCAATGTTCTCTCTCCCATGCCACCCCCTTACCACACACGTCTTGATATACCCAAAGGCAAGCAATGTAACTGCCATCACCCCAATACTCCAGTAAAGGGCGACAATGACCTGACTGAAGATGAAATACGGTATAAGCGGAATGAATCCACCAACAAAGTAACCCAACGCAAGTGTAATAGCTGAGATCCAAGCCTGGTTACAATCCGGCTCGGACTCCTTATGATAAAACGTGATTAGAAAGTCCAGAAGCCGGTCATGAGAAGCATGCAGTGAGGTATTAATCTGAGAAATGGCTTCTTCCGGGAGTGCATATGCAGAAAAAATATCGCGGACAATCATAGATGTTTCGGAAGGAGAGGTTTCAATGAGTTCTTTTGTTTCGCGCACTGTTGTTTCATATGATTCTCTATTCGTCAACTTTCGTCAGCATGCTGTGATCCTATCGTGTTTTGGTATCCTGGAAAGACTTACGCTTCGCTCTTCGCCCCGACGTAGCCGCCCAGGCCCATGGATATAGCACCGGCTGCTAGTTCGGCGAGACCGCCTAGGACGACGACTTTTGTGTTTCCAAACGCCGAGAGACCGGCGCTCAGTGCGAAAGGCACGGTGAGTCCGTCTGAGAGGCCTAGGATGGCGTCCGACACGATGCGCGGGTTGATCCGTGAGCGCGAACTGCTGGTGCTTCCCGATTCGGATGTAGGAGATGAAGGACGGAAGGTGCTGTAGGATCGCTGCGATTCAATGTCATCCTGATCGCTGTGGAGGGTGGAGTCATCTGGTGCGAGTAAGGGTTTTCCTGAGCTCACGTCAGCTTTTATTTCCATCCCTAGGTGATGATAGACGTAGACGTACCAAGTTTACCGGCGGAACGTTTATCTTGACCGGGGAATAATTTTTGTTTCAGAAATAACAGCGCCATGGTGATGTGTTGCTGAAGGAGAATACGAAGATGATAGCGACGTATGAGAAACACTTTTATCTTTCTATACAATGTCGATCCGATCGACGAAAGGGGAAGGAAGTAAGCAAAAATGCCGGCCGTGACACTGACGTCAGAACGGCAGATAAAATGGGCCCAATCTAGACTTCCGCCGTGTATAAGCTTCCAATTATCCAGCACACAGTGAGCCTTTACGAAGGAGATTGAAATAAATAGCAATGGATAATCGATGAAAGAGACTCTTCCTGAGGTCTAGCTCTTTCTTATTTATAAGGAATCCATCACCTCCTGGTAAAAATCTTACATTCTTCTATTCCAAAACACACGGCCCAGGTCTCCCTGCGGCCCGGCCAATCACATCTCCGTTAATAGTCAGCTCTCGAAGATCCTTTCTCCAATCTAAATTGGACAGTGCGAGCGGTCCAGGCTTCGTGAATGGAGTCACGCTGATTGGCGCGATGACTGGCCCGATTACAATCAGGGAGGTTGTGAGTGGTGGATGTTTGAAAGAAGGTTCTCTTGCTGCAGGACTATGATGTCGGTTTGCCGTCGGACTCGGGTTTACTTTGGAATATACCGAGCCTAAAGGAAATTGAACGTAAGGCAAACTTATATGTACGCCCTTTCATTGGATCTCCCGGTAACTGTTGGTTTGCTCGGTCTTAACCAAGCTCGGTCATGTCGGAGATATGCCTCCAAGTCGCTTCAAGCCTCAGTTGAAATCGCCTCTGGGCTTGTGCTCACCATTGACGCGCCCGACGTGCAGCGTCTTATTAGCAACAGGGCAATCACTCAGGACCAATTCGATGCGCTGGCTGCAAAGAGATTTCAGTCGCTCATCTAAAGAGCAGAAGTGACGTCAGAAATGTGCGTGAAGTGGACATTCGAGTCGATGGTGTAAACCAGATAAAGCATGTTGAAACTGGCACTGCGACACTGTGCCAATACGATCTCCAAAGTAATATGAATGACTAAGAATAATCAATTTTCTGTATCAAAGATGTACTGCATCGTCGGAGATTCTTTACCTTATAAAATAGAGGCAGTTTGCCCATTTAGCAGCTAACTATTCATTGTCAAGTCTTCAATACTCATTGATAAAGAGACTGAATATTGCATGCTATTACTCTATTGACTAGCTGCGCTACATGCTTAGCTACTCTTATTCATACAGTATTCTAACAAAGTAACCTACGTACAGAATAAAAATTGTGTTAATGTATTACTGTGACGCATGTAATGTTATTTCTGAACACCACAACTACTATTCATATCTTGAGCGCAAGAACTGATGGGAACTCATTAAGAAAAGCTCGTCGGCTCAGCCAAATCATCCCTGTCCTCGAGCGTGTGATGTAAACAACAAAAACAGGGTATGTCTGCGTCGCGTGCATAGAGCGATCTCGCCCCTCTCATTCGTGAATCGCATCAAGCGCCGCGGGCTGAATGACATCTTGCACTAACTGAGTCACCTCAACACTGCCTATCTGCAGCTGCGCCGGGTTCGAGCTCAGGGAATCATTCCGCAGCTTACAGATTCGTGTCTCGACATCGTCGAGGAAGCTGTTGGCAGTTTCGCCATCTCCAACGTGAAGCGTGACCCGCCTGCTCTGTGGCTCCGCCGTGGCGGAAGGTGGAAGATTGGGTTGTGAGGCTGAAGCGTTCGATGCTGCCGTTCTCGCGTAGGAAATGAAGAGCATGGATTGTGGTACCAAACCTGCCAATAACAAGGAGCGCAGAAGGAGTGATAGAGGGGGTTAATATGTTTATAAGACGGGAAAGCATGATTATAGGAGTTAAAGATCGCTAAATGAAGAGATACTGATTCTTGATTTACTTGTAACCTGCCAAAGGTCATGAACGAAGCCTACACTCATGTGAATTGAATACCGGGACTTGAGACACATTGCACCAGCAAACACTAGTAAGCACACAGTTATAAGTCAGCAATCTTTCATTGGACACAGCCTTGTCATTCTCGAGCCTCTTGGTTTGTCAAGTTAAACCAATTCGGTCACATTTCATCGAAGCCCTAAAAAAAGGTTTTGCTTTCTAGAAACTACGCAAAGTGGGCCACGATTGACAGTGCTACCTTTATAGAGAACTGAACCTTAAGCCGAATTGACATAAGAATGCATTAATATATAACAATGAATAGGATATATCTAACAGGATTTGTATAATCAAAGGATATTTTCTCTTCGGGTGCAGCTAATGAGAACAGGCAGAGTCGAGAATCTCACAGCGCAATAGCAAGGCCAAGAATACCAGCAGCGCCGGCCAAGCCAACTGCAACAGCACCAGTAGGGGCAGCACCAGCCTCCGAAGTAGAAGACTGGGAGTCAGACCCAGAACTACCAGTCGCCTTAGGTCCGCTGGTGGCGGTGGAGTCGCCGGTCTTCTGAGCACCGGTGGCCTGCGCGTCGGTTTGGTAGGCAGTCGAGAGGTAGGTCTTGACATCACCAGGGAGGCTCTTGTACCAGTCGGGATAGTTGCCGGCACTGATCTCACTAACAAAGGAGGATTGAGAAGCGGGATTCCCCATATTCTGGAGTAGAGAGCCAGGGATGGCAGTCATGAGCACCGACATGATGGAAGGGGGAGGCGTTTTGATCGAGGGCATGTTGGTTGGCATGCCTTCAGGCATATCTGTCTGGGTAGCACTATTGTGGGTCAGCAGTCATTCTAACTATCTGGTCGCCACCAGCACTTACAGGCTTTCAAGCTTATCAATGTAGGACTGGGCGCTGTCCGTGTCCCCTGGCTGGGCTTCAGGGGCAGCCAGGGCTGTGGCAGCCAAAATAAGAAAGGGAAGCGTCTTGAACTGCATTGTTGTACGGTATAAAGAACGTTGTAAACAAAAGAGGGTATTATATATAAACTTTTTGCTTCGAGCAAAAGCCAAAGTATCTCTAGGTAAACTTAATGAGCGAAAGGAGTGAATGAGCGCTTGAAGATCCTGTTCTGAATAGCGACCTTTGGTGGTTTATATGTCCTTGAGGCAAAAAATGCGGAAGCACACAATTTTACAATCAAACTTCTCAACATTCAAGTAGCTTTTCCAGAAGTGGTATCACTCTCGCGCTATACGTCTCCCGTGGGCAGTGATCAACACGCTCCAAGAGACTACTGCTCGTGTTTAAACTCGAGATTAGCATCTCTAACACCTGTCTCAAGCCGAGCCCTAGAATAGTCTTTTCGAGGTTCAGGAACCCAACGTAATCCACTCTGGAGATGCTTTCCCGCAGAATCTGCGCAGATCAGCGTAGATCCACAGCTAAAAGGGGCTGGTGCAGTGGGATGAGGCTCATCATCTCGTATTACGGAAATGAAGGATCTTGGGTGCCAACCAACTGCAGCTATACTACGAAGTAGTCGATGTATAAACTCTCGTCGAACTAACCTATTAGGACAGGATCGAGTCAAGAGGATCTGCGTCAGGAAAAGGAATAGCACAGCGTGGGTCACGAGGCACACACCACCACAAAGATTGGCCACGCGTTAACGGTCAAACAGCTCGCGTCTTGGACCCCATTTTGATATAGATCTATAACTGCTCGTGTTAAAATTAGGGAGGCAAAGAGAAGGTTGCAGATGTATCCCCATTCGATACCCCTGATCTGTTAGTACGGAGTAGTTGTTCAAATAAGCCCTGAGCCAATAGTGCTGGCGCATTCAAACGGAAATACGAGGGACCACTCGGACCACACTTTAGATTTGCTGGTTCACTTCTCTTTGGAAAATTCAACTGTGGGTTTGCTTTTTTGTTCATTTTCTTTGTCTTCTTTGTCTCTGGCCAAATTCTGGACTTTCTCAAGTCCCAACTAAATTCATCGTATTCAGCTTTCTATTTTTGTTATTTTCTTTCTCTTTTGAAATGTGATTAACAAGCACTCCATGTGGGCTATATATTTTGTTTCCCAGATGATGCATAACTTGTACACCTCAGCCACAAAGATACTCAATTGATAGCCAAAACGCATACATACCACAAAGTAAGGACTCCATGCATTCCATCCCATTATAGACTACTCCAAAGCTCCAAGCATCCAATGCACAGATAAACAATACCAACCTCGTCGCCGTCATGCAGGGTTGTTCAGAGGCTGTAAAGTGGGGTTTTTCGCATTCGGTGTTCCTCCAACTTATGTAAGCCAACGCTTCCCGTCCGACCAAGCCCTCAACCAATAATATCGCTTAGATTCAAGTTTCAAAGGGTATATAATTCATTGTAAACATAACCAAGTGCCTTCGGGCATTTGGTCAATTTGAAACGATACAGAGAAGATTAGCATGGCCCCTGCACTAAGGATGACACGCTCAATCAAAGAGAAGCTACCAGTTTTTTTTTGAACATTAATCGGCTTGATATAGAGGTAGGAGTGTATGAACGTTCAGAATGCTGATTTCGGTACTGGAGCGGGTTCGAAACGGAGGGCAGGAGACTTTTTTCTTTTTTAGTAGAGGTGCACATCTTAAATCACGTGGTACGTAGAGGGCTTCGTGAACTGAATCGCCCGCTAAACCTGATTAGGAACGCAATACTTTGTCTATTGCATTGACAAAATCCTAGTATTGGTGAACTCCTACTAGCACTTCAAATAGATCATCCCCCAGTCCTATTGCCGGAAAGAAATGTTGTCCAATCGCAAAATAGCCCAGATACTAACCATAACCCAGAATATTGTCCTACTCTTGTGCCTCTGCTGAGGAGGCCTGTTAGCTATTGTCCATGCTTTGATACTTAGCCACTTTCTGATTGCTATGCGTCTGATCTGCATTAGATATTCTGATTCCGCCGGTCGGTGTTCGGAACCGCCACCGATATAGCCAGATTATAGTACGTAAAGAACATTAGCTGGATGGATAGAGTCACCACAGAGATTTTGTTCTTTGTAGCACTCCTTTCTCAAGTAACGATATGTGGTGGTTTTATATCATATGTATTATTTAGTATCATGGCCACCCTGGTTAAGATTTTATATCTTAAAATCAGATAGTAGCGCATTCAAATCAATCACAGGAACGTAGCCAATGAACAATTTCGCAGGCCAAACAGCCATACATGCTAACAGGTGATTACCGCTTCACGCAAATGCCAGTCGGTCTACTTCGAAGTCTGCGGTGACGGCGAATTTCCTAAGATGAGGTGTAGCGTGCCTATCTAGTTAGGCATGCGCTGTTTCGCCGCTTGGCATCGACTAAAATAGTCATTATAAACAACACCTGCGGGATAAAATTTAAAAACGCCCGATATATAGTACAGATCGTATAACTCTAGCTTATAATATGGAAAGTCAGTAGGCTGAGCTTGTAATAAGAGCAGTTACAGCATCTTAAAACTTGATCCGGGTCCACCAAAGATATTTGCTCTCTAAAAATAGGCTAGAACTAAGAAGTATTCTCGATTCAGAGTGGAACTAATAATACTGAACCCCTAATTCCGGATTAACTGGCCATTAAGAACACTTACTATAAAACCCACCCTAATGATATGGTAGAACAATGCCACATCCCCGATAAGTTAGGCTACAGTGACCCAATGGATACAGTCATTTGGCTGAAAGCATCAATGACAACAATAGAGATATGTAATATATCTCAACTCCCAAAGATAGCCATATGGCGCCAAAAAGTACGAACAGACCAATGTCAGTCAGGAACTTAGCGTTCTCTGCTTTGTCAAAGGCAAGACAATGACTACTAGGACATAGACAAGCCCGACAATTCCAGCCACCACGCTATATGCGATTATTGCCCCGACGGGGGCAGTTGCGGTGACGTTTTGTGCTAAATGAAATCCCAGCCCACCATTGACAATACCAAGGACTATCATAGAACGGCCAAACCATCGGTGCAAGTAGGCAAAGACACTCTTCTTTCCGGTTTTGTGAAAGTATCTATGTTGAAGAAAGCCCATAGCCGGCTGGAAGAGGATGAGGGCAGGAACAACCACCATCCCGATGATTGGATGGTAGGTCCCTGTCAGGTGGAGGGTTTTTGCCAACGAAATGCCGATACCAAACCCGGAAATAGCCAAGGCCAGAGTAAAAAGCTGGAAGAAAGCGTGGATATCAACAATCCTGGAGTGTGCGCCGGTGTGAAGCATCAATGCAAACGAAGGGAAGAATATGACGAAGACAAGGATCATAAGAACAGCATGTGCTACCCTGCGACTTGCAATGGATCCGGTGTCAAATGTCGTGAGCGCCTGCCCAGGACTGTTTGAACTATTTGATGCTAAGAAAGGATTGTCGGATGCGCCGCCGGTCGCTTTTTGAAGGTCAAGAACTGCAACACCCGAAGCATCATGTATGATGATCGGTAAAGATAGACTGTCTGAGTTGAGTTGTCCCCCATATTTCACGGCCCAAACCCATGGACTAGCTGAGCTACTCGGATTTTCATTTCCTCCTGGCCATGTGAGACAGCTGTCGCACCGAATGTTTGCGGTCATGATTCCATTGCTGATCCCGCTGCCAGCCAAGACTGAGATCTGAGCCTGGCCATTATAAATCGGCTCGACATGTTCTATGCCCAGCCTTGGAGAGACAGTGACATTATTGCCGTTGTGGGATGCGTAAGCAACAAAGATATTCGCTCCTTGCATCCGGGAACCCTGACCCCATGCAAACCATTGAAGCTCTTGCGTTGATTTCAGCTGAATATAAATTGGCCCTGAACCGGAGTCGGCAGTCTTTTGGGGTATATTAACACTATATTGGATAGATCTCTGCCCAGGTGGCGAAAATGTTTGCAGCTGGGCGAATGTGCCCGCCAACAGAGTCATCCAGGAGCAAAAGTATGTTCTCGCCATTCTGGGTGACATAACAGGCTTCGTTACTTGTCATTCATCTGTTCAAGAACTAGATATGTGAATGAGCAGTTGGTGAGAATGGATGGTAGTTGTAGTGGCTGCACGACATATCCATGTCCTCTATTGGCTTGGTGAGCGGCCTATAATGCAATTTTTAGCAGAGTTCAAGCATACCAAATAATATATTATGACACATGAGCATTCTCTATGAGATATCTTCATCATGTGCCCCCTGGGGTACCAAGGTTTGCGGCCAACCATGGTTGCTTTTGCCTTAAGCTTCTGAGAGTGTGGCTCATTCCACCGCCCTCGTCTGTCCAAGAGAACTGTTCGTACGGACGTTGTCCTCTGAACCTCGGTAGGGACTTACAGCATTAAATTCCGGCAGCATGAAACGGCTCTAGTTTATATAATATCGAAATGATATTGATTTGAATGCTTGTAATGCGATGATAATCGCATATGTTATGAGTAGAATCAGGGATGGGATAGTTGAGGATACCCACGCGGGAGACCACCCACTCGACGACAATATGAGCTTCAATATAGGCTTTTTGGAAGTTCGATCGAAAGGCCGATCTAGACTATACCTGTGATGCTAAGGTGACGTGGCCTGGGGCTTAGACTGAACCCGACTCACAGACTTGGGGTTGGGCTGGCCACGCAACACATCGCTTTCATAGCTGTCTTAGGAGGCTGAGCATGAAGTATAAAGTCCGGAGGGGTTTCGGATGTTACAAGTTGGAGACTTGAGGAAGGCTAGCATGTGCGTTCAACCGTCATATACATTTAAAAGCAGCTACAATGAGAGAGCTACAATATCTCTTCGTTTTTATCCTCATGCAGCTCCAGCTTGCTGGCGCCCAGTATAGCACAGCTACGAGCGATACTTCTAGCTCTACTACAAGTTCATCAATGGGCACCTCGAGCCCGTCAGCGGTACAAACAGTTGATGTTGGTGAACATGGCTTCAGTTTCGACCCTGATACTCTTAAAGTTGCTCCAGGCGGCAAAGTCGAGTTCCATTTCTATCCTGGTAACCATTCAGTGGCGCAGGCCTCTTTTAACAAGCCATGTCACCCTATGAATGATAGTAGTATTTTCTCTGGATTTATAGCACCAAGTACTGGTGAATCGGTACGTCAAAGGCAATTGTAATCGGTGACAAGACGCTGACGGTATAGGACACTGTCTTTACGGTCACTGTGAATGATACGAATCCTATTTGGTACTACTGTGGTCAGATCGGCCATTGTCAGGCGGGTATGGTTGGGGTGATAAACCCACCGTCAGTATCCCGTGGGCAAACGTGTATTAGATGGTACATTTAACTCTCTCACTAGGGCCTCCGGCTCAGACACTTTGGAAGCATTTAAATCGGCAGCTTCGAATGCAAATGGAGATAGTGTGCCATCCAGGGTCCAAGGTGGCACTCTCAGTACCTCGAGCCCCAAATCGTCCTCGACCTCTACCAGCGAGACGAGCACTCATAGCACGAGCACTCACAGCAACACAGCCACCACGAGCGCATCACCCACTACCACCAATAGCCCAAGCCCTACCGCTACTAACATTGCAGGGAACCTACAAGCTTCGACCGATTCAAGCATTGTCTTCATTTTGACTTTAGTGGCCTTTGTTCTGTTTATGTAGATTTAGCGAAGCTTGAGGGGTATGTTGTTGAGAGCTTAGGTCTACCTATTCTCTGATAAAACTCAGCTGTTCGTCCCTGTCGACGCACGGGCTACATTAATTAAGTGGTGCTTTTAGTGTATCTACGCTGAGGTACGCTCCGTTTGATTGTCATCAACTTTGTAGGAAGTCTCATATGATTGACTGAATTCCACGAAATAATCCTAACCAGAATTGGGTGAAGAATATATATCCTAAATATGTAAAATTGCCAACCTTATCCTTGCGTCTTCCTAGGGTTAGTGCATAGAAAAAGTTGCAAATTTGAAGTATGGAGCCTAACCTAGCTATACGCTAGTCTATAGTCATCAGAGATCAAGGTCCTACAAGTCGTCACACTCCTCGCGTTGCTCTCGGTTTCTATTCTCCTTCAAGAGGCCTTGTCAGCTGCCTCCTTATCTTCGGCCGTCTTGGTCTTAGAAGCCCCAACTAGGTCAGAACCAATATAGTCAGAGCTCTATCTTTCAATCTTAATACTATAAAAACCATTAGAAACTATAAGAAATATCCCTTCAATATATATTATTTTTAGTGATTTTTAATGATTTTTAGTAGTTTTATTATCACTTTATCTAGATTTCTAGAGTAGACTTGGACCTTGGTTAAAAATTTCTTAGAATGCCAACATGTAGAAGCTCCGACTTTTTTAGGGCTCAAGAGATCATACGATACTTCCTGTTCCTCAAGTATGCCTCTGTCCGCACCTTCATATCTATAGGTTCCTTGAGAAGAGCCTGTGGAAGTTCAGGCACGTCTGAGGCTGTATGCAAGCCGAAAATCCCCTCATCGCCAGTATCGCTGCCGGGCTCTAAACATCCTCGTCTTGCCTGACTTGTTACTCAGTGGCCTTCAGGTCCGTTGTTAGGTTTTTCACCGCTCAATTTACCTTCCCCCAGATATTCCGGTAGTTACCGAGTCCGTCTAAACTTGCTAGAATCGGCCATAGTGTCCCTGCCGATTTCGTATAGCCCGAGCAGGATCTGCTCCCCGGTGATCTCGACCCTCTCAATAGCCTGCGAGACGTTGGCTACAGCCTCGTTTAAGCGAATCTTTTATGTCGGTCCATTCAGTTCCAAGCTCCACTTACGGCAGCATTCAGGTCCTGTGGGGATATGAACACTTCACCAGCTATAGTAATCTGTGGCGCTGTGATAGCAGAATACTGGGCCCTATTATGCTGTAAAGTCATGTATAGCTATAAAATTAGTATTCGCCTGTATTACATATTATAATCCCAGAGAATAACAGCGGATAGTTCTTACCTTTAAATACTGAATGTATTAGTCCCGGTGGCTGATATCTGGGCAGAGAGCTTTGGCTGGCTCAATAGTTCAGTGGTAATCTATTTAAAAACATGAGTCTATGTGACAATAGCAACAAATGTAGATTAATGTAAAGAGGTGTTAGGGTAGTAATGACAAGAGCAAAAGAGGGATTGAGCGTTGGGGAGGAAATAGGTTGAGGGAAACTTTGAGTCTTTGAAGTTGAGAGGAGAAAGTAGTAAATGTGAATAAAAAATATATACAAAAGAGCTATTATCTCGCAGTGAAGGGGATCTATTCTTGGTAGAGATTCCCATATATCTATGGATTTGGCCATATTGAGTGCCACTGGTTCAAAACCACACAAATTTCTTATATCGCTTTTGTCGAGTCGTTCAATTTGCTTAAAACTCCATATGACTCAATGGTCAGTTTTGTCTATCTTTTTCAATCGCTTGCGAAATTAGGATGTAGAGGATAGCGTTTATTACTGTATCTCTGTTACAAGCCGTTGAAATATAGCTCCAGGACCAGCAATTCACTAGATATGGCACTGAACTGCACGAATATCATATATCGATAGTATCCCACAGTCATAACATCATAGCACGGTGGCCCTCCAATACGTCCAGATAAATCCCCGATAAATGGCATCCCTGTGGCCAGATTTTGATTATGCACCTCCCTCTCTCTTCGCATACTCCTCCTCCATCCTTTCTTCATACAACCGATCCGCCTCCTCTTTGCTCAATGGTCTGTCCTCCGACGCAGAGGAGTACCCAGGTGCCGTGACTGTACCACCCGATCCAGTCCCGAGGACACGACCGCCGGCGCTGTTCATGGACGAAAGGGTTTCAAGCGACGCCTGGCCAGCGGTGCCAGTGGGGGGGGTGTTGGAAGTGTCTTGGTTGCTGTACGTGGGAATAGGCATTTTTGGCAGTATTTTGATACGCCGATAGAGACATTAAATAACAGATGGTTTTAATGAGAATAGGTAAAGATATTTTAAGTTATTGACGGGACTTTGGGGATGTTTATGTGGGGTTTTTGCGGGAAGTGTGGCAATAGCGACTGACGTCATAAACAGTGAATAGTTAATTCTAGCGCCGTCACTTTGTGCAGAACCCGAACTGGTTAAAAGATCAATAGCAGTTAAGATCCACTTCAGGTCTCTTGATAGAAACACAGCTAGAGTATTTTCCAGAACTGCCTTGCCCATGTAGGATCCTTGTTGCCGATGTCAATCTTCTGCCAAGATAACCTGGGATATATGGCATAATGAAGGTTAGTCTTGTTCCTGAAGCTTTACTGGCATATCTCATTGTATGTATAGAACCGTGAAGAATATTATAGCCACTTTATTTTATCCTTTGTTCCTCGCCCGTCGATCTTCACAACGTAGCTCATGCTTCTTGATAGAGTCCTAACATTGATGTGGGACCCGGCCCATTATTGTATAGATCATAGATGCCATCACAGATTCAGTGCATGGTAGTGTATAACTAGAATATTTAACACTGGGGAGCTCAACAAGCAATCGATTAAATATATAAGCTTTTATGTGAGATCCCAAGGCCCTCGAAGCGTCCTGAAAACAAGTTGAAATTTTGGAAGTAAATAAAACATGTGTTTCAACATACAAGCTCCGAGCCTATCTTGTAAGGCACGGTTTGTATTTACGGATCAACCATAGTAGCTAATTGTCATTCGCAATTCTCAGTTGATCACTCCGGCGAGTTTCAATTGAATCGTAACCAAACAAAACTTTAAACTATCCCATCATTGATTCCCTTACCCTGCGAAAGCTATCCCTCAAGAGTGGAGACCACTGGTCTTTCACCAATTCTACTGTTCCTTGTTGCGAAGTGGAGTAGCCTTATCATATAATGCCTTGTTATTGAATGCGAAGACATAAAGTTATTCTGTCCACTGTCTTCTGAGGAAAGCGGAAAAGAAGGGTAAACGAAGTGGTCTGACTTATCGACGTATGCGGTTGTTATCGTTTATTGTCTTCTTCCAATAGTCATCCACAATGGACCGGACTTCTTCGAATTGTGACCTGTTCCAGGACTTGCAAAGCTTGTATTCTTGGCCTGAGTTAGTTCTAGATGTTTATGATAGTTCGACTGATCCGAAGATATTTGTTCCGAGTCAAACATTTCTTAACTGTTCCCGAGAACCTTGAGACAATTAAGGTGGGTACTATACTACTAACCACGTTTTCTCTTTTAGGTAATACTTGCTCTTTTGTTTGCTTATTGTGCATTGCTCGCCAAATCCTATGTCAGGATTTTATCAGTAGTACCTGAGAAGTACTCCGAATATGTGTAAACTTAGGGGACAATGTTAAAATCAAGAACCAAAGGTTATCCTTAATCATCCCGTCCTTTTAAGAAAAAGGAGAAGACTAGTGTTCTATTTATTACATACAACAGAGGAGCAGGTGATAAAAAGTGAAGAAGGCAAAAGCCATCTCTCGGTCATTCTAAGGCTATGGCCCTTAATCATCACGAAGAGGAGTCCTCTAGGCTTAGGCATCCACTCTGGAGATCTTGAAGCCGCCTGGGAATCGGGTCTGGAATGCTCCCACTGGATCATATTTAGCCGCGACCTTTCGCATGTGGTCCACATTCTCCTTGGGGTAGCTCCCGAGGGGATTCTGCGAAAAGTCGGCATAGTTTAGATAGATCAGCGGATTCTCCCCACCAACTGAGGCCGAAAAACTCTTAAGCTCCGCAACCATTTCATTCATCCGGAATTGAGCGACAGCGAAGTCGGATTGATTGGTGTACACAAACACGCCGGCAGTCCAGAGAATGGAATTGCGGTCTTTCAAAGTGTCTGCAAACATGTTGCCCCCTTTCTCCTCACTAATTTCGGCGAAGAATGAAGGTAGCGGTTGGAAAAAGACGATGCTGTAAAAGCTCGTTTCTCCTATGCCTTGAGACAGCTTTTGAGCGAACTGCTTATGTACTTTCGCAGCATGATTCAGAATCCTTTTATCATTCTTAAACGTCAAAGTGGTTTGCAGAGTCCTAGATTCTTATTAGCATTCACCGTGCATGGTATCGATCGATTGTCTTACCAGGCATTTCCGGGGAGAGTTGAGTTCGCGGCCGCCACAGAGAGAGGCACAACAACTTGAGTGAATGGCGATGCTTGTGGAATCTGCCTCAGCTTGTTGAACGCAGGACTGTTCTTAATGCCGTCTGTATTGACTTCAATTGTTGCCAGGATATCCTCTCCTCCCTTGTGCACCAAGATCGCAACTAGGGCATCTTTGTCGAATTTCTTTTGGTTGTTAGTGAAGTCAACCACCGCATCCACTAGCTCCGTAGAGTGGTTTCCCAGCATTGCTCGTTGTCCATGCGCAATGTATTTGTCCTCCAGGCCTTCCATGTCGTAGCGAGTGACAATACCAAAATTGCTACCGCCACCTTTTAAAGCTCGCCACAGATCGGAGTTCTCGTCCTTATTCGCATTAACAATAGTACCATTGGTAAGGACAACCTCAAAATTCTTGATAGAATCACAGCCAAAACCCGTTTGCGCCATGTAATAAGTGGAGCCGCCGCCTAGCAGAAAACCACCGACGCCGACGTCACCATCACGGCCACCAGTCACGACAACGCCGTGCTTGTGTAGTTCCGCATAAACATCTTCCCAGTGGCTGCCGGGGCTAACGCTGGCGATGTTGGTTTTACGGTCATAAGTGGTTCGATTCAGGTATTTCAGGTCAATGGTCACTCCAGTATCGATGTTGTTTGAGTAACCAAGATTGTGGCCACCTGCACGGACTGCAATATACCAGGCGCCGGCGCCGGTCCTATCACCATCTCCAGCCTCACTTCCTAGCAGCGCAGTCATTGCAGCAGATACTTCCTTCGCATTATGGGGCAGGACAATGCAATAGGGGTGCCGTCGTGTGTTCCAAGCCCAATAGCTCTTAATGCGGGCCTCATATTCCGGGTCCGTGGCGAAAAGAAGTCGATTGCTGAGGCCAGCTTCAATCAGAGCATCGCACTTTATCATATTAGCAACTTCCATAAAATACTCTAGGAGTGATGGGACGGGGTTTGGCATACAGGAGAAAATCCCGTAGAGTTTGTACTCGTGAACATTTGGCTAGCAGCCGCAGAGCTACTGAGTGCCAGGAGTGAAGTGGCCATATGACCGAGACAATTAAAACCAAGTAGCATATTGCACCGCAATAAAATCAGAGATAGATCGACTTAATGACCTTTATCGGATTAGAGAAACAGGATTAATTATCATAATCTCAAACACAAGGGGCCAAAGAGCTGCATTTTATAAGTTTTCTGCGGGTCTATAGAACCCATGTCATGATCGACTAGGAGAATAATCATGCCCGGTCAGTACCACTGGTGCCCCATAAATCAAGACTCATAATCCGATGAATACAGATCAAATTCAGCCCCATTTCGCGGTTTTTACCCGGACAGGAAAATATAAATGCCAAGATACAAGGCTGAGAAGCACTCTTAGTCCTCGGCCCAATGTCTCGAGGTTAAGAAGCCGCAGTCCACGTCAATTGAAAAGTATAGATTGTCTTGGCGTCTGGTTTATACCGATTGGGTAAAGTGTTAAATCTAGACTATGTAACAGTACTACCACGCTTATCATTAACAGAAACAGAATTGAATGAGCACCACGGATCTGTGAGACTACTGAGGTACAGTACATACATATGCCTTAGACAGACACTTAACCTAATTAGGAATGTAGAACTGCCAAGACACTAAATTGTATGGTCCCATGAAGCTTCACCTCTTAAGAGTTTACTTCACTCTTCCTGAGGCACCAATAGGAATGTGAAGCCTCCAACATTTCGAGTATCTGTACGGATACAGGACCAACAAAAGGCTAGTAGTAATGGTCATGAGTAAAGACATGAGAGGATGCAATGTTCTATCAAGACTACTCAATACACAAAACATGCGTACAATTTTACAGGGATACTAATAAAACCTCTTCTCCAACCTCGGGCATGTAGCTCAAGAACTGATGAAAAGGGTATCTCTCATGGAGAGAAGAGTGCCAAAGAATACGCCTGTCAATGACCCGAAGGCCGTTGAACGGATTGTTCCGCCGCGCTGTGCAATGCAGGGACCAATCCGTGGTGGACCGCCTTCTTGATCGCAGCCACCCAAACAAGGTAAGTATGAAGAAAAGAAAGAAGAAAAATTTCAAAAGATGGTCGGGGGAGGGAGGCTTTTATGTGACAGGTGGGGTCACCGGATAGTGCGCTAGTGTAAGCGAGGTGACTGTTGTAATATATGATTGGTTACTGACTAATGGGGTTGTTGCTGCCTCAGGTGTCGTTAATCCCTAGCTATAGCTGCACTTGAGCATTCCACCACTGCGGGAAGCTGTCTAAGTCTGAATGAAATGCAGGTTCTTGTTATTGGCACCGTGTTGAAGTATGTAGGGTACTATATTTGGCATTCATTGACTAAGACAACAATCTTCATGATAATTATTATTGAAGCACCGCTTTCTATAGCAGTTGTGATTATCAGTTAATACAAGGAAGTGCCATATTCAGGGCACGCAAGAAGTACATGAATTGCTACTACCACATAGGCATCATAAAGGGAAAGCGCGAAGTCCATACGTTGGACCAATCTAGGAATTATGCTACTATAAAACAGACCCGCGGAGTTCACTCAGCACTAAGAGCAAGACATGCGTCTACTGCTAGACCAACCCTGTGAAACAATGTAAGCCACTTTCTTTTTGCCTCGGATGTGCGTCATGATGGTAAAACACTTACCTCCCCTCCTTCATCTTGACAACATCATCAATGACGTCGCGGTCTAGATTTGGGAACATGTTCGATAACGTCTCCACCATATTGTTGTGCTCAACACGTTGTATCCTCCGTGCTTCGGCGTCCTCCGCACTAGCCTGTCGAACAGCAGCATCTTGTGCACTATGGGTCCTAGCCCGCCGTGGCTGTGATGCATTGCGGGACCGCTCGCTTGATCGCCGCTCCTCGCCACTGTTACGAGGTGGCTGGTAAACATTTGGATTGAGTCGTGGCGAATGGCTAACCGGTGAGGTCGTCGCTGGCTGTGTCCGTCGGTCCTCTGGCGAATCTGGCTCGTCGGAGAAAATTCTTCCAATGGTAGATAACGGCTTCTGGATAGTACGCAGGAGCCCGGCTACTGGAGCGTTGTCTTCATCGTTGGATTGTGTCGCCTCTCTCCGGCCCCGTGGGACATCCACCGACGACCTTGGTGTAGACTGTGATCGTTGGGAAGACTTCGGCTCTAGCGACTCCGACTCGCGATTTTGTTGGGCGATGGCTGAGACGGCAGCTTCAACATTTCGCTCGAAGTCTTCGTCACTCACTGTCAAGCTCGTTCTGTCCAGGGTCTCAATGAACTGGATGGCGCCAGACTATATAACAGTCAGTTACTCGCTCAATCTGCCGAGCTTTGTATTATATAGTTTACCAGGGAGGACAAGTAGTATCCAGCCTCTCCTCCGAGCTTGTCTTGGTTGCGGAAGCGAAGGATATATTGAATGTTAGAGACCAAATGCTCGGGATTGGCATGTAGCACCACATAAATCAGAAGGGGTACAAATGAGTCGGCTGAAGTATCAGATGATTTCGAATTCTTCAGGAGACCTTGTAGTATCCTTGTGAGTTGACGCCCACATATATGATTCTTAGACAGTCACTCACCAAAGATGACCTTGCAGCAGTTCAAGATACAGATAACCTTATCACGGGGTGCCCGGTAGCTGTTAATTTTCGAGAGTTCTATAATTGATGTCAGTAATATATCTATGGCTGGGACGAAGGTGTTCTTACCTTGTTGGGCGAGAGTTAAGAAGCGACGACCATGAGAACCCACTGGTGGTATGTCAAGATGCGCCTCTCTTACCCAACTGTAGATACGGATCTTCTGGGCCAGCACCTCATCCCGCTCAATATCTTCCTGGTGCTGACCGCGTCTCCAAGGACCATGGAGTCTCTCCATTTCTCTTCGTTTGCTCCGACTTGTGCTTCTTGGAATGGTGGGCGGGGAGGGAATGGCCGGGGAAAAAGTTTGCGAATAGAGTCTGTTCATGACGAGCTTTTCCATTCCTTCTTTGGCATTGTCAAACTCGCCGTCCGAGACGTCACGCCAAACTTCACACATGGCCATCTTGTTAGTGATGAAAGCTAGAAAATCGCTGATGATCTTAACTTGCTCATGGACCATCCACTGTCGTTTCCCAAACTCATGGAGGAACGACCGTAGGAACTTGGCCACCGGATCAGCAGTACGATGTCGCAGTTGTTCCAGGAACCGATGGAAATCGAAAGGTTGATCAGGCTCTGGCTCTGGTGGGGGAGGTAAAGTCGATGTGGACGAGCGCCGAGTTAGCGCCGGCTCTTCTACAAGAGATCTTCTGTGCACGCTTGTAGAGCTCGAGGCAGGTTGTTTCTCGGGAGAAGTGGATGAAGCTCCTATTTTGACGTTTGAAGCCTGAGCGCCCTCACATACTGCCTTTGTTTGATCGAGGCTGGATTGCCGAGGAGGAAAGTGACCTTGTCCACCAAAGAATTGCTCAGCTAATTCCAGTCGAGGTGACATTATCTGCTCCTCACTATCGCCATGCGCAGTATCCTGGAATTGCTCCATGATGCTTTGAATCTCCGGTTGGGAGACATCATCTCGACCAGCCCCGCCATTATCAGCCTTTTTCCCCCGCTCAGGTACTTCCGGTAGTTCCTTTTCAGTCCATTCGGAGGATGTTTTTGTTGACAATTGGGAAGTGGGCGCAGACTGAGGTTTCTGGTTAAGATATGCTTCGTCTTTCTCCGGTGGGGGAGGGGGCCGATCGGTGTTCGGCGACGGTGAGCGATCTAAGGCGTTTGTAGATATTGACAATCCCTTCATCCGGTCCGGAAGCGACTCTTGTTGGGTAGGTGTTGTGCTCGGCGGGTCGAAAACAGGTGTAGTTACTAAAGGTGGGGACTCTGTAACTGCACCCTGCGGGTTATCCTGTATATCTGCGTCCATATTGGGTTGCTTCAAATCCTCGGTATCCTTCGGATTGGTGAGTGGCCCATCCTGCGATTCTCCAGCTGGCTCGAAATTCGCCGATGTCACCTGTTGCTCTAGTCGGTGCCCCTCATCGTGAGAATTTGAGATCTCCCCTTGTCCACTAGGAGCCGGGGAATCCGAGGGTTCTGTGGCAGACATAAGCCAGCCGCATACACGCTAATAAACTAATAGATTAAGTCGCTGAAGTGAACGTTTTTTAGAAGAAGACACAGAGCATTATGATATAAACATCCAGGATTCCAGGTCGAAGCTGTTATCAAACTGTCAAGGATCAAAGCAATAAGTGCCGCGACAGCGGGTGTAACGGAATCGGCGGGGAAAGTATTACGGCAACTAGTATTGTTAATAAGCCGCCCCCAGCAAAGGTGGATTTAACAGAACGCACTTGCTGTTATCTCTGGTAGTTGTCAGAATATCATCTCAAGTGTTGAGAGTATAACGGGCTGCCCGCACGTCACCGCCGGGGTCACGGTTCCCCCGAGGTCCGGCGCGAGTCATTCATTTCTGCGTTACTACACTTGAGAAACACCACCCCTCATTCGCGGCCGGAATGCTACAATGTGTGGCATATTCTTTTCCCTAAGCGCCTCTGGGCCTGTACTTCCTAATGAGGAGACATGCTGTTTATTGCGCAAACGGGGGCCGGATAGCTTCCAAGTTCAACAAGTTCAACGTGGTGTCAACACAGATCAAACAAGATCTGTACCGACTTTCCTTACCTTTGTCTCGACAGTTCTTTCAATGAGAGGCGACCAAGTCGTCGCCCAGCCTCTCGTGGACACCACTACTGAATCCGTACTTTGCTGGAATGGCGACGCCTGGAAAGTAGCAGGTGAACCCATTCGAGGTAATGATACCCAGTTGATATTTAATCTACTACTACAAGCTGCGAAGCCCTCTTACAATTCAGGATCACCCACTGCCCTTGATGGTGGAAATGCTGTCCAGAGAGTTGTGGATGTTATTAGTAGCGTTTCCGGGCCTTTTTCTTTTGTCTTCTATGATGCTGTCAACGCAAAACTATACTTCAGCAGGGATTGTCTCGGAAGGCGGTCCCTGCTTCAAGGCCTTGATGAAACCGGGGCTTTCAAGATCTGCAGTCTCTGCGACGGGACGTCGTCCACCCACTTCGATGAAGTTGGCACAACCGGTGTGCATATGATTGATTTCAAACACACTGTCATGCAGGATTCGCCTACGTCTGACACTGGTACTACTCATTTCAAACCTGACAGCATACAAACACTACCATGGGAGAACGTAGATTCTCCTGGTCATCTGGTACGTATGTTCTTTTGATCACTATACTTGGAATCCATACTCATGATCATGCAGAGAAACCCAATTCCTCCCATGAACAGGTCTGTCCCGCAGGGCGTCCCTCCTCGACTGAGCGTTGAGTCGCCTTGCGTGAATGAGCTTGAGCAAAGACTTCGTACGTCTCTTGCACTCAGAATCCAAAATGTACGTGATCCCCCGGGTTTCACTACAGAAAGCAACGCAAAGGTTGCTGTACTGTTCTCTGGAGGGCTTGACTGTACCATCCTCGCTCGACTGTCGCATGAGCTTCTACCGGCCGACGAGTCAATCGACTTGCTCAACGTCGCCTTCGAAAACCCGCGTGTAGCAGCTGCAGCGATCAAAGAGGCGAAAACAGGCTCAGTGTATGAAAACTGCCCCGACCGAATCACTGGCCGCGCAGCCTTTGCAGAACTTCAAGCCGTTTGCCCCAGCCGTAACTGGCGCTTTGTCGCAATCGACATACCTTACGTGGAGACAGTTGCACATCGTGACACAGTGAAACGTCTGATGAGGCCGCACAATACAGAAATGGATCTATCCATTGCATGTGCACTCTACTTCGCCTCACGAGGACAAGGATCTGCTCTCGACAGCCACAAAGGTAACGTCGAACCGCAACATTATGCAACCCCTGCCAGAGTACTCTTATCAGGCCTGGGAGCCGATGAGCTGTTCGCAGGATACGCACGACATGGAGTGGCATACTCACGCAATGGTTTCGAGGGGCTCATTGACGAAATCGACCTGGATGTCAGTCGTCTCGGGAAGCGCAACCTAGGTCGCGACAACCGGGTGATAGCACACTGGGGCCGCGAAGCACGATTCCCATACCTCGACGAAGACTTCGTCTCGTGGGTCGTGCAAGCCCCCGTCTGGGAAAAGTGTGGCTTTGGCCTCCCGGAACCAGAAAGCGATGATCCTACAAAGTCCATGACCGGCATCGACCCAGAGAAGCGCGCCCTTCGCCTAGTAGCCCTCAAACTAGGGATGTCGAACGTGGCGCGAGAAAAGAAACGAGCCATCCAATTCGGCTCGCGGACAGCAAAGATGGAAAAAGGTAGAGTGAAAGGCACCGACGCCCTCAGCTAAATGAAACTTTCCAACTTACAACACAACACGCTTTTCCTCTCCCCATAAACAACAACCTTTTTCCCTGCCACACTCCCATAACCAGCCCACCCCAAACCCGAAACACATCAGTGATGACAAAACCAAGAATCAGATACTTCTGAGTTCACACCTCATCTAGCCTCAAACCCCCCATTTCTACCATCCACCCAGCATCAAGTGACGTGCAATCTTCCTTGATCTTTGGACCGTGCTCATCCCGCCTCCCCTGTCCCCAGACTCACTCAGGCCAATGTGTGTGTATTTGTTTTTAGAGCGGTAAAGAGACCGCCTGCTCATTATTGTTCCACCTTCTGCACTGGCTATCAGAGCGAAGGTGCAGGGCATTAATGGGCTCGGATGGTTCTAACCGTATATATGGCAATGAGATCGAGCATTTGGGGGCAGGTGGGTGTGTTGGCGGGTTGGTCTTGTGGATTGAGGGGTTGTGTGTCGGTTTTGCTTGTTGTATGGCTCTAGATGGTATTGACGGTTCTGTTTGAGAGAGGTTTGGATGGTGAAGTTTTAAAAGGCAAGTCTGAGCTGTGTTCATAGTGGTTTTTGTTTGCATTTCTTTTTCTGGAACATAGCTATGAAGCCATGATTGTTCCATGTAGATTACCTATCCTCTTACCTGGCCTACATTATGCATGTTGATCGTCTAAGCTAGAGTAGGCATTGGTTTAGATTACTTTGGGAGAACTATTCGATGAGCAAGATTGATGGATTCGTAGATGGTCTAATACACGTGAAAACACAAGCATCGAAATATCCAAGTTATCAAGCAAAACATCCAAGGAATTATTAGCCACGAGTCAATCCTGCAAAGTAGGAGACATCAGAACCGGCTATTGCGAAGTAATGAAACATCAGAAGCCCATGAACTAGAACAATGAGCAAAAGATAGATAGCCAATACTGGCAAGAAGTAGAAATAATCAAGACAAAGCGGTCCGAAAGTGCTAACACACGACCATATGGTAAAAATGACAATAGAAACTTTTATCCTGTCGGAAGTCACTTCACCAGTGACCAGTTCCAGGCACTAGTGAGTGCATCCGACATCTGGGTTGACGAGAGGCTCCAAGCCCCCGCCCACCGCAGAACCCATTCAAAACAGAACTTGCAGAAACAGTATGATATATCACGTAACAAAAAACCGACTTTTACATCACTTAGGCCTTGTTCTGAGCAAGGGCCTTCCAGTATTGCTCACGACGTTGAGCCTCTTCGAGCGACTTCTCCAACTCATCAATCCGGCGCTGCATCTCTTCCTGACGCTCAAGCTTACGGGCGCGAGACTTACGAGCCGCCTCGGTATTGCGAGCACGCTTCATGGCCACTGGGTCATGAGAATCAAACTTGATCGGAGGCAGAGGCTTCCTTTGACGCGCGTTCACACCAGCCACAGTAGAGGGCTTGGTGACTGAGCGAGTGGAGGGAGATGTAGCACGGGACGATGTGGTACGGATCATAGGAGATGCTGGGGTGACATCAGCCTTGGCCTTGGGCTGCGATAGAGCCGCAGCAATGTCAAGGGTAGTGGTGTCAAGACCCAAGGAGAAATCGTCCTGGGAGGGGAAAAGAGAACCCCACTCCTCAACGCCAGGGCCTAGTTCGATGTCCGTAGCGAACATGGGGGAAGTGTCTTGGCTGAAGTACCCTGGGGACTCGAATGAGGGAGTGCTCAAATCAGTGAAAGAGGCCGATGGAGGAGCAGAGGCATCCATGAACAGATCCTTGGGAGAGATCGTGCCAGATGGCAGATCTGCCAGAGAATCGGGACCTGCCATGACGCCGGCGGTCATCTGCTGAGGGGAGAGCATAGTGGACTCCGTAGTGGGAATCAAATCGTCCCCGAAGCGATCAGCGTGAAGATCGAAGAGATCGGGGAGATCTGACGGAATGTTAACGTGTGTCTCTTTATGAGAGTGGAGGAATCGCAGCCATAGCTCACCTTGAGCAATGTTGGGAGTAGACATTATACGACGGTGATTTATCGGGATTTGTTGGCGTTTCTGATAGGTGGAGTTGGCGGGACTGTTGAATAGGGGAACGGGCGGGCGATTGGGATACGCAGAATTCAGAACTGCAGGTGGAGAGTTCGAAGCAACGGACGCTGCGTGAAGACGCAAGAGGTGCTTCCTAGTGGAGGGACTAAACCGATGAGACGAAGACAGAGGGAACCCGGTAGACTGCGAAGCAAATCTGGTCAAGCGGGGAACCTGTACTGGCGAGGCTGAGAGCTGCTGCTGCTGAAGTTGCTGCTGCAAACTGAGAGTGTGTCGTCGAGAAAGGTGCCCAAGACGGACCAGAGATGGATGATAGGCAGGATATCTAGGGGTTGTACTCAAGGGTGCTGGCGCACGAGAGTCCCTGGGATGCTGGGAGGGATATAGCACAAAGTCCTCCTGTAGGGAGTTGGCACTGTTGTCGTTGTTGGAATTCAGATTCTGAGCCGTAGGCTGCGGGGGCGGGGGTGTAGGGAGCCATGTTTGCTGATGGTGATCCGTGTTGAACGACGTGAAGTCGAACGTTGAAATGTTGTTCAAAGAACTTGAGCTACCCGAGGTGGTGCTAAAGTTCAGAGGTCCTGGGACAGGAGACTCTGAGGGGTGGGGTGAAGATATATTGATAAAAGACGAAGTCCGTTGAGGATCTATGATGTCTGTCTCACGAGAGATAGACGAGCTCTTTCCTGGGGAGGGATTTAGAAAGAGGCCATTTTGGAACGCTTCTTGATATTCTAGTTCTTGTTCAGTATATGGCTGTATGATGACGGTTTTGTAATTATATGTGGTTGTGATGTAAAGAAGAGAAGAGATGAAAAGGAAGAAAAAAAGGAAAAGAGAACCCAAGGCAACGACGGGAAATCAGGCACTTCTTAAACGCAGTGTGTGCGCCCTTCATCCGACAGTTAGCCAATCATTGTCGACCGCTTCCCCGCCTACCACACTAACCACATTGGGGATTAGACCAATGGACGCGGTCAGCAGGTGTGAGTCATAAACCCATCCGAGAATCTGATTGGCCTCCTCGTCGACTAAGTGGATGCCCGGGTGTCCCCAGGCATCTCCGGTGCCTGGGGCCGAGTACGAGCAAGATACCTGCACCCACGCAGAGAATGCAAGGTAATTTGAAGTCACTTGCAGGTTACGCAGCGGGTACCGACCCTCGTACTCGGCTGGCTTCTCCACCGCTTCCCAGGAAGTTGTTTTAGTGCTACGATAGTCTCAGTGTAAGTTGTGTGAGGAGGATGCGGATGATGAAACCGGTTCGCGTCCAGTATTGCACCCGTCACACCCATTGTCCAATGAGCATACCGGTCGGGGAAGTCTAGGCATCAGCGCCCTTATGCGACTGCATCTTGCAGCCTTCACAGCCTCTCTAGGCTGTCTCGGGGTCTGCATTGGGACGCCGCCAGATGGAGCCAATTCCCGTTTGAACGGGGGCTGAGCCGCACTTATCGCTGTAAGAGACCTTAGGCTACAGGGTCCTACATGATGGGTGAGTTTACCATCATTCTCACGAGCGATCTGAAATCCTGAATGGTTAAAGAGAGGGGGGCTTGAGAGGATTAATAATGTGCGTGGAGATCAATTTCCTTTTTTCACTCCCCGCCATGCGCAGTTAGTTTGGTCGAAGGGCGTGTTTCCAAACTCTATCAGCCCCAATTCTCTTCCGCTTGAGCCGTTTTGCTCTCTCTCTCTTTCTCTTTTTTTTTCCTTTTTTTCATATTCCTTTTAAAATAAGGGAGGATCATCCATCCAGAATCAAGGGAAAAAAAATCACCCTCATTTGAGGCGGAATTCTCCATACATATGACAAAATTATACGAACACCAAGAAATCACTATCCGTATCTAAACTTGACACTAGATAGAAACCGTCTACATTTCACGAAAACGATTAGACCATTGCAAAAGTGGAGGTCCCGTTGTTTCGAGAATCCCAATTAGACTAAGAACCCGAATAGAGAGAAGTTACTAAAAACCAAGAAACCAAAAAACCAAAAAAAAAAAAAAAAAAAAAAAAGAGAGAGAGAGAAAGGTTAACAAAAACTGTCCATTGCGCACCAGCCCTAACTCGGAGAAAACCAATCTACTCCGAAAAAGCATGGCACAATCACCATTGGTGTTGATTGAAATAGATTAAATTCATCCCACCAACGACATTGGTAAGAATATCCCAATATCAATTTTAAATCAATCCGCTATTTATTGTAAACACCGAGTCTATCGTCATCTTATGACCTGACCAGGTGTCGAGTCTAGTCTCAGATAAGAATCTTCACTGGAATCGAGTATTCGCTCGTCTCGCCGAGAGGCGAAAAGTGTATTTCAATTCTGCATGTACGCCGGACGTATCCGCCGAATACCCTTGCGATAATTATGCGGGAGTCGACTGCGTGTTTTCTTAACCCAATGGCGCACGAATAAGTAGCCATCGTCATCGTAAAATGAGCAGAGAGAGTCCCGAATGTAGACGTTGTCATCTGATGTAATTGAACCTTGATTATCTTCTCGATCATGTGTCCCACTCGGTGTCAATGAAGCAGGGCGCGAAAAAAAAGTACCGAGTGTTGGATGTCTTAGGAATTCTTACTCTTCGTACCCCCGCGTATTATTGAGATTGCCTGTGATTTCAAAAGATATGTGCATAGAATAGATACGAGTGCTCTAGTTCGCCTCCTACATATTTACGGTGTGAAGATAAACAAAACACCTCACTTCGAAATGGCAGGAGCGATACTACTATAACCATAGAGAGGCACAACTAATATTACCTATCGGATACCGTGTTCTAAGCACTCTGCCGTTTGACCAGAACCACCAATTCGTACCAACGCATGCGAGCAAGACCAATGCGAGGGACAAAATATGTATATGTCTCATGTATATATATAAATAGTGATATTTAAGATTCTTGGTACACCCATTGGTTCTATATCAAGACATATGCTACACAGAACCTAAACCTGTCACCTAATACGAGAGTAAGTCTTAGATTTAAGAGACCAAGAACAAGAAGAAGAAAGATATAGAAAATGAACTCGAATTTCGCACGCCGTCGAACCACCTTAGATGTGTCCTAAATATAATCTGAGACCCAGATACCAACGAGAAGTCTCTGGCGAGGGATTGCACGCAATAGTAACTCAAAAGATAAAATAAACGTCCATCGTAAGTAAAGGTGATCGTAAACGTATCATTTGATAAACAACAACCAATCTGGATAACGACAAAATTATATATGGAGTACCAGCCATCCGATCCAAATACATAGTCGTATCCAACAGAAACGTATTCGCAAGTTAAATATATATCATGCAAGGGATTGACCCCCGAATGCAACATTAATATATACAGCTCCACTCGGCATCACCTCTGTGTAGAACGTGGCATTGGAGGTATCTGCATTCTATTGGGTGGTGCTCTTCGTAAAGATGACCGCGTTCTTAATTGGACTTGATTAGGGTCATTAAACTAATCTGACGAAAATCACGGAAACGCAGTGAAACACTGCGCTGAGGTACTGGAGTACGGGTGACCCTGACTATGTTTGTAAGCAAGGGCACAGGTGCAGAGAAGGTAATATCGGAGTTGCAAATTCCATCACTGGGTGAGACTAAATCCGATTATTGGAATGTGGATCATTTAGTTGCCTTATAGCCCTGGGTTCGGCTGATCCATTCCAGGACGTTGATCTACAGTGTCAAATTCGGATGCCAATTCGCTAGCTCAATGTTCAAGAGCAATTAAGGTACATCCCGGATCCTAGTCGGCATGCTTATGACAGGGCTACTATTAGGATTAGGCAGAGCCACTGCTTCGGGTTCTGGATCCGTGGGATGGGGCTCGAATCGGAAGTGTTCCACTATCACCCACACAGGGGATGATTACGGGTCTGGTTTAAATCGACGGCAAAATAGGACGTTTATGGCCAAGTAGATTATTACAAGGACGATGCGGGTACAATGACAAGTATGGATTCTATTAACTATTACCTATGATGCTGTGCGCTAGTACACACGGCGTATGCACGCCATGGAACGTGCCCACGACAGTAGACGATTGGGGTCGATTTGCGCAGTGCGGGACCCGCCCTGGCAAAGACCATCCTTCCTCCCAATAGGGTATCAAAGTACAAAGCATCAAATGGCGAAGACAATCAGAACTAAACCAACCATGAAAACACAAACAACAGTGGTATCAATCTAGTTTGGACGGCGCACAACAGAACGCACGCAAGGCCAAATTAGGGGATCCTCGCGGGAACGGATATCATAAATGAATGAAATGCGACCCAGAAGCGAAAAGAACATCAGAGTCGGAAATGACCGCCAAAGCAGCAGAGGGTATCATTGTCACTCAATTTGGTAAGATCCTCGCTGCGAAGCAAGGCACCAAAGCAGTAACACTGGAATCAACACAAAATAATATCAATAAACAATTACTAATGATTCTTTCTTTTTGTTTTTTTGTTCAATTATGAGACCATGGGCACTCATCACTGGGAGGGAGAAACACTAAGCGTGTACTCCATATTGATCCCACCAGTTTTCATACTCAATGACGCGCCTTGAAGCACTTCAAGCGGCGGCCTGGACAGGAGCAGAGGTGGAAGAGACGGTGGCGGGCTTAGCCTCCTCAGTGGTGGCAGCAGGCTCGGCGGGCTTAGACTCTTCAGCGGACTCGGGAACAGTGGCCTCCTTGGGAGCACCCTCGGCCTTAGCCTCAGTCTCGGTGGCGGTCTCCTTGGGTTCAGACTTCACGGCCTTGCTGGGCTTGCGGAAAAGACCACCAAGCTTGTTGCCCTTAGGCTTGGACTCGCCCTCAGCCTCGTTGTCAGAGTCACCCTTCTTCTTACCGAAGTTACCGAAGAAAGAGGTGCGGCGCTTGTCCTTGGGAGTCTCAGCGGCCGGGGAAGCGGGGGCAGCATCCTTAGCGGCCTCAGCCTCGACAGGAGCGGTCACAGTCTCGGGCTCAATGGGCTTCACGGAAGCCTCCTCGACAGGGTTGTCGAGCTGAGGAGCAGTGCTGGCAACAGCGGGGGTTTCAGCAGGAGCGGTGGCCTCCTTCTCAGACTTCTCGTGAGAAGGACTAGTAACCTTCTGGAAGAAGTTGCCGAAGAGGGAAGTGCGCTTGGACTTGGTCTCAGCCTTCTTCTCTTCTTTCTTCTCCTCCTTCTTTTCCTCTTCCTTCTCTGCCTTGTCCTCCTTGTTCTCAGTAGGCTCAGCAGGAGCAGCGGGGGCTTGGAAAAACATGTTAGCTTTAGACAACACCACTAAAGTAGCTTTGTACTTACCCTCAGTAGTCTCGGCAGTGGCGGAAGCCTCAGCAGCAGGCTCAGCAGCGGCCTCGGCAGGCTTGGCCTCTTCAGCCTTGTCACCTTCCTTCTTCTCCTCAGTCTCTTCCTTCTTGCCACGGAGAGTTCCGAAAATGCTGGCGCGCTTGCGGGACTGGGAGCGGCTCTTGGCCTTGTTGTCCTTGGTCTCCTCAGTAGGGGCCGCCTCCTCCTTGGCCTCCTCCTTGGCCTCAGCGGGCTTTTCAGCGGCCTTCTTTACGGGCTCAACGACAGCGGGCTTGGCTACACAATATTAGATTACAACCACGGCCTATCTCTGAACGATCCAAACTTACTCAGCTTTTCGAGCTCAGCCTTGTAGCCTTCGCTGGAGGTGATGGCCTCCTTCTCAGCCTTAGCCTCGGCAGCCTTGGCCTCAATGGCAGCAGCCCAGCTGTCGCGCTCAGTGGCATTAGCAGCCTGGAAGGTGTGCTTGTGGCCATTCACCTTAAAGAGGAATTCGCTAGAGCCCTCCTTAGTGACATCAGTGACATCAGCCTGCTCCACGTCAGCATTTCATCCCTCACAGACCGAACGATATACTGACCAAGTTGAAGATTCCGGTAGGAGTGTTCTTGTCCTCAGCGCGCTTGGTGAAGAACAGAAGACCCTTTCCGGTCTGGCTAGCCCAGGCAGCGATGGGGTTGGCAACGGCGGGCTTCTCATTCTGGTGGAAAGCAGACAGCTGCTTAGCTTCAACAGCGTCCTCGCTGAAGTAGAAGAAGCGCTTGGAGAAGCGCAGACTCCTATAGTCCATGTGATTAGTCACTTGTATTGCAGATCCATTGCGACATGCGGCGCTTACTTGACGAGACCGGGGGCCTTGTGACCGAGGACACCCTCCGATGCGGGGGTTACCTCCTCCTTAGCCTCCTCCTTGGGCTGTTCAGCGGGGGTCTCATCCTTCTTCTCTTCCGCAGCAGCGGGAGTAGCCTCAGTGTTCTCAGTGGGGGTTTCCTTGGGAGCCTCAGCAGCAGGAGTCTCCGTCGCTGGAGTCTCAGCAGGCACTTCGGTGACAGGCGCGGCAGCGGCAGCGGGAGCGGGAGTCTCCTCAACAGGCTTCTGAACGTCGGACATGTTGTCGATAGGGATTAAGTGGTAATTATAATAGTAGAGATGAGATTAAAAGTTGTTAATGGAAGCTGAAGTAGCTTCGTAATAAAGAGTCACGTCCGTTTGGGTATCTTAAGGGGGTATCTTAACAGAAAACAAGAGCTCTCAGAGCACGAGGCTTGAAGAGCTCGGGTATCACAACGAAAGGTAAAGGGTTTAGGGGAGAGAAGAAGCGAACAAAGTCGTTGCTCTGGAAGAAGTGCAGAAGCAGAATGGAATGAAGAGAGAAGAGAGGAAGAAAAGAAAGAAAAAAAAGAATCAGGACAAAGAAGGAGAAGGGGCGAAAGGAGGGTGAAAATAATCAAAGGGTGTGGGCAGAAGCCCCAGAAAGGGAAAGGAGCTGCAGGGCGGCCAACATCCTTGGACACCAGGGAAAAAAAAAGTATAGAGTAAAGAGACGAAGAGGAGACGAGTGGGGCGAGGAAAGCTAAGGAGTATACGCAGGAGGACATTTTGGATTTATTTTTTTTTTTTGTTTTTTGGTTTCCACTTTTTATTTTGCATTTTAGTTAAATTTACTTTTTCTTTTTTTTCTGGACCAATGGCCCGTTTAGAATAAGGGGCGGCCCCCCATCGGATTGATGCAGACGAGTATCAGGTGCTCCTCATCCCAACAACACTTCTGCAGGTGACGATGTCGTTCGGTAGGGATGTTTAAGAGGTAATGAGGTACCGCCGATTCTCTCTGCCTGGTTGGACGAGTTCATTATTACCTTTTAAGCGCCTGGGAAGGGGAATCATCTAGGACTGGGAACAGGTTGAAACGTCCACTTGACAAGAGAAAGGGTCGGATTTGAAGCATGGACGTTAATGGAACGATTCTCTCGTATATATGATGGCAAATTTCCCTAATTCAGTCTAGGACCAGAGACTAAACCCAGTCAAATTAAAAATTCTTCATGGGAGAATAAGGATAGACATAGACTAGCAACCCCTATCCAGTGTTGTCGTTCCAGAGGTCCAAAAAGGAGATGAGAGACCCCGGGACCTTAGCGACACTATGACAGCTTAGTGACCAGTAGCTTGAACTGTAGTAGCTCCCCTACCGCTCATGCAGCTTAACGGGTAGCCCTAATCAACTACCGATCATTATGCTATTCCTTCCCTCCTCCAAACAAAAACCAGAAATCATTTCCATTGAGCCACAAGTACTCTATCTATTGAAAATAGAATACAGAGAACAAGATAGAAAGCTCTTCATAGCATCTAACACCATATCAAACCACCAGCAAAATCCAATGTTTTAGATCATGTCATCCGCTCACCGCGTTGTGGGACCTCGAGCCACTTATTCGGGAGCTGTACCATGGATGGAGACTCCTTTCGAGATCAACCTGAGTGGGCTATACTGGTTGAACCGTGTTACCTTGAGTCATATGGTCTGTGTATCCCCATGATAGAAGTACTTGAAGCAGCACCAGAGGAAAAAAAAAAAAAGGAAAAGAAAAAGTTCATCCTTCGGCCACTATTCCGTAACCTCAACAAATAATTTCTTTTGGCTTCTAATTACGGAGTACATGCCAATACATTGTACTGTCCTGTGATTATTAACAATATGACTGCACAACATACCTTTTTTTTTTTTTTTTTTTTTCCTTGCGCTCAGGTACATAAGTATATATCTTCCTGCGATGTAACATTCTATAAAAATATCAACCCACTCCCTATCCCTGACCTGACCCAGAACCGAGTAAAAAAAGTAGTAAAAAAAAAAAAAAAGACCAGACCACCGCAGGTCATAGTCCTGACGGATCCACCAACGATCTCGATTCTTACAGAAATTTTCCACAAACAAGCTAACCAAGTAACTTATTCCGCGTTCTGCGTTAGTCTACTTAATTTAGTCTAGTCCTTGTTTTATTAACCTAATTACTATGGCGCTTCCACATCCTCTATCCCATCTCCAAGCCATTAACATTGGTCGAACCAGTGGCTTTTTCCCGACCTGCTTCCTTGGGAGAGGGATGTGCAAGCGCTGTTCTTAATCGCAGGTAATATCTCCCTAAACAAGTAGCCCTTGACACGGCACTTGCCAACCAACCATCAGTGCATAAACGTCAACCCTTAACCAGTGTTTGCACCCCTAGTGACTACTAACCGGGGAGGGAAGTATGTACAGACGGATTGATCAATAGGTAAAGCACGTTGGAAGTTAAAAAGGTAGGGCCATGCGACTCGAGTATCTAATGCTAACCCGTGACCGGAACCCCCATCCAATGAACAAGAAAAGACACCCTCCTTCAACATGGTGTAAACCAGGGTTGTCCGGTGATTTACTTGCACGATAAGGCAGTGACACCAATCGAAGAAGAAATGGGCGATTTCATTCTCAACTGAACTAGTAACGGAGTACTCTTGTCCAGCCAACCATCACATGTAGCGTAAAAAAGAGAGTGAGAGAAACAACAAATCCTCAAACAGAGGGGCAAAAAAAAATATAATAATAATACTAAAAAAAAAAAAAGAAAAGAAGAAAAACCCCTATCACGTCATCCTTTCTTTCTTTTTCCCTTTTCTGGGATTTAGTCTCGTTCTAGTCTAATTTTTCTAGCGAGAAAGAAAGACACAAATCGTAAAATTAGGCATGGACGATGATTATTTGGCCATAAATTAAAATCGACACTCAGATTTTCAGGACGTGGTTCGATAGCCATCTTCGTAGCGCCATGGTGGGTAAATGGTCGAGGCCCCACCCCAGCGCGGTACTATTGTCGCGCAGGAATGTTTGTCGCAGCCCTATCAATGCATTTTCGCGGTGGTGTCAAGCCATCCCTGCACGAGAATCGATGCTCGCTTAGAAGGTAGGGTGGGAGGCACGTATGTACGGAGTATGTCGTACGTACGTACGTAGTATGAGTTTGTCATTGATTTTCTTTTCTTCAGCGACAACGGTGTGCATATGGTAACTGCATTAATTAGCGACAGAAGCTAAAAGTGTATCTAGTGATGTGGCAAAAAGAAAAACGACCAAAATCCTCCAGATATCAAATAATTAATAAAAGGGAACGCAACCTCAAACACAAACAAGACCCTTTAACACGCCCCCTTCTCCCTTCGGAGTAGTACTACTAAGTGTTGGAGCTCCGGAGGTCTTTTGGTCCCAAGGTACTTAGTGTCGTGGTTAGTAATGGGAACTAAGTTAACTTAGTTCTTACTAGTCTCAGTAAGCCGATCCACTCACCCCTTTTCCATTATGGGCCGTTTCGAGCCCAACGGACGATTCCAATCCAACCAATCAGGCCACTGTCGATCTGATGATCGTTGCCTTGGCCCGTGTCTATCGTTGTCCAACGGACAAGGACGAGGGTGCTTCATGTCTTCCTAAGTTCCGCGTGTGTCTAGGACCGTCTGGTATTGGAGATGTGAAGAGCAATACTGGATCTTTATAGGTTTTTCTGGTGGATTGCGGCGTTTCAGATTGTATCGAATTTTTCTATTCTTTGATAATGAAGCCCCGATTGAAATTTGGATAGTTGGGTACGTATATGGACCTGTGGTTTCCTTTAAGATTATGGCAGTACGGAATATAGGTGGGGGAAGAGTGTAACTCCGCACATAGGTACAGTACATACGGAGCATAGGTACTGTGGTATTCCGATCTTGTCCGCAAATTGGCTTCCATTATATCATAACGGGACCATTGTCATAACCGTAACCCTCATTTAAAAAAATCTGATATCAAGATTGCGCCATCCCTTATTTCCTCTTTCGGACGTCTATCTTAGAGCCCCGTACATAGTATATCTGGTAGTCAAATCTACCCCGCAGCAATAATCTCCATATCAGCCACTTGAAATCTTGAAACAGATAGAGAATGGTCCTATCTCTCAGGTGAGTATCAGGTTTACAACTAATACGTTGGGTCCCTCAGAACCACTCGCCCGTAGGCAGTAGATAGGCCAACAGAGGTCACGGGTTCCGTTATTTCTTATCTTGTCACCTGTCATGTGGAAGCTGCGTCATCAGCTCCAGAGAAGCACGTGCCCAAGTATAGACAAATATGTGCGATCATATTTCAACAAATCCCACGTATCACATATGCCAAATGCTAAATACAACGCTCAAATAATGACCAACAATATGCGAGAAATTTGTACACCTGACCTACCCAAGCATGCTTTGCTTAGTTAGAGAAACAGAAAGATGGCATCATTAAGCCGCCATAGTAAGAACATAACTAAATCGGGTTAGTGTTGCCTAAACCTAAGTAGGGAAGAATGAGGCAAAAACCACTTACGAAGTAATGCTGTCCATTCTTTCAGTGGTCAACTTCAGGCTAACCGTCAGCAGTTCCCGGGCAATTTCGGGCTCCTGCTCCCTTAGATCTCGCCATTTGGCTGTAGTCAAACGCCAGGCAACACATTCCTGTTCCGCCTTGACCGTTGCCGTTCGTCGGGTTTCGCTGAAGAACGGCAATTCTCCGCACGGCCGTCCGGCGACGATTAGCTCGAAATACCGCCCCTGTGGCAACTCATACTCCGCACGAAGCATCCCGGATTCAAGCAAATAGAAGCCATTGGGTACATCGCCCTCCTGGAATAATACAGTACCAGCTGTGTAGGCGTCACGGACAAAATATGTACAAGCCCGGAACCAGAAATCCTCATTGCGTGAAGTTAGCCCCTGGAATGTCTGGAGTAAGAGTGGTAAGGGCTGTCGCATGGAAGCCCAGGCTGTCGGAGCCACCACGGCTGTCTCATCCTCGCGCAGCGTTGTAGTCGCTGCTTGCTGTAGATGTCGGTGACGAGGGGAGCTCACGATGCTTTCGTGAAGATGCTGCTGGTTGTGTGACCCAGGTACTTCTAGAAACGTTGAGGACGCATCCTTTCTCTTCAGCAACGCTTCACGGTGGCTGTAGAAGACCTTCAAATAGTCATTCTCGCAGAATTCAAGTGCGGAGTTGAAGTCTTCGAATATCTGCACGCCATTTTCTGACTCGAATAGCCCGACATTTTGAAGGCTTCTGCCGACATCTCCCCCGGTGTTCAGCCCTGAGATGGTCATCAGCACGTTTCGCTTTCTCAGAATGCGATTGATACGCGTGAAGGCTTCGGCTGCAGAGAAGTCGATGCCGTATACACGGGAGAAGTCCAGGATAATAAATCGAATAGGACGTTTGTTAAATGCTTCCTCTTCAATCAACCCTCTCATTGTGTTCTCGACGTCAACAATGGTTCCGAAAAATAGATAGCCACCAAGCTTGATAATGAGTGTCTGCTGTCCTGCTTCTCTTAAGAATCGCTGTTGGATCGGAGGCCGCCGGACAGTCGAGCCAGCAATCTTGCCTGAGAATGTCGCTCTAATAGCAGATTTACGGGATGTCTGAACAACGAAACTCATACACGCTAGGATAATACCGACGAATATGCCAACAACAAAGTCCCAAGCGCCCATAGTGACGACAATGATGACGACCTGCCAAGTTAG